GAAGGATGGATGTTTAGTTGTGGGTTTTTTGATTAATTATTTGTTAGATTTTTAATGTTTTATAAGTTTGTATGGTTAGACATGAATAAAGAGAGTAGTCAGGTGACTAGATGGGCGGGGTATAAATTCAACAAACAAACAAACAAACAAACAAACAAACAAATAAATAAAATGTAAAAAAAGATAGCTCTAATCATGCTTCTTTCTCCCATGTTAATGTCTCTTATGCATCAGAAGCAGTTCCAAACTGTTGATAGTTTGTTCGGCTAACATAATTGTACTGAAGGTTATCTATAATTTGTGGAGTTAAAATTGCATAGCATCTGGCCATACGCAGAGTTATAGTTTTTTAGCTGATAAATTTTGATGCTGAAATACTGGTGTAATTCCTTGTGGATCACAGTACATAATCACTTGGCTCCTCTTTTTGCTTGTGTCTGCCTGAGATGACAAAACAAGCTTCAGCAGTGCCTTGTCATATAGGGTTGTGTGTTCTTTCTTATTTTTATTTTTAGAAAAAATGCACATTAACATTATTACATTGCAGTGACATGGTCATTGCTGTAATAAGATGACAGACCTGAATCTGTATAATTGTGGTTGTTGTCATGCGCTGTTATGTAGCATCCAACTTAATAAGATTTTCAAGGTATGTGAGACATTTAAGGAGTTATTTTACCATTACCAACCTCAGTGAATTTCTATGGCCGAGCAAGAGTTTGAACCTAGATCCCCTGAGTCTTAGTCCATCAGTCTATCCACTATACCAGTGGTCCCCAAACTTGGGCCTCCAGATGTTCTTGGACTTCAACTCCCAGAAATCCTGGCCAGCAGAGGTGGTGGTGAAGGCTTCTGGGAGTTGTAGTCCAAGAACATCTGAAGGCCCGAGGTTGGGGACCACTGCGCTATACCACCTTGGCTCTCATGTAATTGCTAGTAGTAACATATTACCACCTGTTTCTTACCATCCAAGAGTGATATCTCAATGTTAGGAACCAAACTGGGATGTACTATGAGGAAATGTAGGGATTTACTGTGAATATGTGACCTATACCTCTAAATTAAAATTGAGTACCCTGTTCGCAGGGCAAGGGTGGCAACGTGTGGCCAGCCTCCTGGCTCTCATGTAATTGCTAGTAGTAACATATTACCACCTGTTTCTTACCATCCAAGAGTGATATCTCAATGTTAGGAACCAAACTGGGATGTACTATGAGGAAATGTAGGGATTTACTGTGAATATGTGACCTATACCTCTAAATTAAAATTGAGTACCCTGTTCGCAGGGCAAGGGTGGCAACGTGTGGCCAGCCTAATTAAACTGTAAACAGCTCAGAGAGTGCTTTAAGCATCATTGGGTGGTATACAAGCACCACACTTTGTTTTTGCTTTGAATACAGTTTTTTAAAAATAAAATACATTAATTGTTTTTTTTTTTTTAAAAGAGAGTTGAAAATGGTTTGGCATTTCTGGTGATGTAGAGATGCTTTAAGAAGAGTTTGGTGTGGTGTCAAAATGTCAAACCAAAACACTGCCACCCTTTTAGCCCTTCTCAAATCCAGACACTCTGCCTGAATAGGGCTGAAGAGAATCAAGCATCACCATTTGCCATTCTGTTGCTCCTGCTTGTTTGCCATTGGCAAATTCTCTACACTAAAAATCTCTTTGTGTAGGATGTTCTTGATGCACATGCATATTGGGGGAACATACCAGGGTAAAAGCAAGATGTTTATAATTTTCTTGATGTTATAGCATAGAATGGAAAATAGAATAGGAAAAACGTTCCTGAATGTCGCCATTCTTCCTAATGAAAAGAATGTGCAATTAATCTATTAACATGATGACCTTCCCCCCCCCATAAATGCCCAATGCAGGTGTTGTTCTTCTGTACCGTCAAGTCATCTCTGACTGATGATGACCCGATCAATGAGGGATCTCCAATATGCCCAGTGCTCAGCCACCCTGCTCTTCTCTTGCAAACTCAAGCCTTTAGGGAATCATTTCATCTCACATTTGTTCTTCTTCTTTTCTTGCTGCTTTCAACCTTTTCCAGTCTTTTTGCCTTTTCCAAATGATCCTGCCTTCTCATGATGTGTCCAAAGAAGAACACCCTCAATTTTAAGATTTTGCCTCCAGAGATAGTTCAGGTTTGATCTGATCAGGGACCCACTTGTCCATCATTCTGGCAGTCCACGATGTCCACAAAGCTCTCATCCAGCATCAGATTTCAAAGAAATCATTTTTTCCTGTCAGTTTTCATTACTTTCCAGCTCTCACAGCCTTATGTAATCATCATCATCATCATCATCATCATCATCATCATCATCATCATCATCATCATCATCATCATCATCATCATCATCACAATGAGGCATCAAGTTAATTTTTAGGGTTTTCCAGGAAGTAATTTACCATTCTGGGGGCAACCTGGGACTGTGCAGCTTGCCTGAAGCTACACAGACTGGCTCTGCTTGCAGAAGGCACAGTGGGCAATCAAACTCCCAACCTCTGGCTCCACAGCCGGATACCCAGACCACTGAGCCATCCAGGTAGCTATATAGGGATTGGAAATACAAGAGGGGATGATCTTGGGCTTGGCCAGTGATGCATCCTTACCCTTGATTATTTTTTCTAGTAGATGTACTAACACACCTCAATAGCTTGGTTCACAGGTGATATTTTTAAAAGTGGCATACCAGTAAACAGTTGTGTATGTTCCCTCTTCAGTCCAATGCATATATTTCCTAGAGTTCAGTTGGACTTAGCCCTAATTTTGCAATTTACTTTTACTTTTATTGAACTTATACCCCGCCCCTCTAGACAAAGTCTACTTGGGGCAGCTTACATGAGTAATAAAATACAATAAAATGACATACATAAAAACCTACTAACTAATATCTATATACATTTGCAAGACGGGATAGTTAAGGATAGCAATCACTAGGGAATATCTTTTTAACTGATGGCATGCCTTCCTAAATCTGTATTAACTTTAGGACTGAACAGGATATACTGGGTAACAGTTACCCAACTTCCTTCTTGTTTTTGCTACTTCAGCAGCTGGGACAACAGTCAGTCAGAAAGACTGTATAGCAAAAAGTGCAACTCTTGGAGTGTAGCAGCTGTAGGACAGCCACTGTTTAGTTTGGAAAGTACACGGTAAAGATGGTGAAGCAAGAGCTTTAAAGATAAATGTGAACAAGAAAGACAGAGGACCATGTCAGGAAACATTTACTCAAAGCTTCGTATCTCCTGAGGCAGATGTTCTCTGAGTTTCCTTTCTTTAAAGCTCTTTTTACAAGGAATGCAAGAAGATGGAACCACAGTATCATGCATAAGTGTGTTGTTTTCCTGCACCCCCCCTTTAGAAGAGCCACAGCTGCTTCTTTGGTAACAGAAAATCCTGTCCAACTTCTGCTGATTGTAGCTGTGAATGTCAGCCACAGCATTTGATCCTGTTTTCTCCTTTATATGATCTTTAGAGATGCGCATCGTGAAAAATCATTACAAAAGGAGATGTTTGGCTTTATCAGAACAGAAAAATTTAGGAAGTTTGATCAGCATAACTTAAAAAAAGGGGGGGACCCAGATTTACTTGCCTACCTTGTTCCTGGCAGAGTAGTGCCTCCCCAAGGGATGCTTTGGACAGAGGGGCAGCAGGGTTGGAGGGGGCAAGGAGCCCCCTCAGCTGGCCTAGTCTATATTTAGACATGCCAGACTTCATCTGTAGAAACTGGTGCAGCATGCTGACAGGGTGCCCACTGTGTACCTGGCTTGGTGCAGTCTGCCCCTTGTCAGATTATTGCACCAGTCTCCATAGTTGGGCTTCTGTGTGCATGTAAATATTGAATAGAATACAGTGGTGCCTCGCAAGATGATTTTAATTTGTTCAGCGAAAATCGTCGTCTTGTGAAAAAAATCGTCTTGCGAGGTTCCCTATGCATTGGTCTTAAAAAAAAAGTCTTGCGAAGCATCGGTGTAAAAAAAAACATATTGCAAAGCATTGGTCTCGGAAAGAAAAAGTCTTGCAAAGCACAGTCACAGGAAAAAAAAGTCTTGCGAGGCACCATAGTGATCGCAAAAAAACAATCGTCTTGCGGGTTTTTCATCCCGCAAGGCAATAGTTTAGCGAGGCACCACTGCATTGGCTGTGGTTTGCTCCCACATGTCAAAAGGTTTTGCTCTACATTGTTGCTTTCAAACATAGGACAGGGCCTTTTGGGCAATAACACTTGAAGAATTCTTTCTCTGGTTAGTCTGGTTAGTCCCCATCACTTGGACTTCTAGGTGAATGATGAAGCCTTTCTCTTTTCCCCAAACATTATTATGCACGCATGCACACATACATACAAACATTGAGGTTAGTTTTTTTATTTTTATTTTGTTGGCTGAATAGTGAGCTGGGAACCATTTTAGAAGCAAAATAAAAAATAAATTAAAAGCTGTTGAAAATAAATCCATCAAGTTGACCCTGAATTATGGTGACCCTTTTCAGGGTTTTCCAGATAGAGAGTATTCAAAGTGGTTTACCTTTCCTTTCTTCTTATGGTGCTCTGGTGGTTTGTCCAAGACCACATAGGTTGGCTCTCCTGGGTTGCACAGTGGGGAATTGAACTCCAAAGCTCTATAACTAAACCACTGAGCCAATAAAGAGGCGTTTAATTTGGCACTTACATGAAAACATGGTTGATTCTGTTTGTAATAGACAGTGTTCTCTATACTGATCACAACAATTGGAATATTTCCCTGCCACCTGATTTATCCCTAAGAGTTGGAACAATGTAGAAAAAGGGCTCTGAAGCTGATTTTGGAAGTTGGACAGGTTTAAGTGCGAGATGGTAGTTCTTTTAAGTGCCCTGGTGCAGGATGTTGATCTTTTATTAATATAAGCATTTCGAAGCCTTTACAGTTTGTTTATTTATTTATTTATACCCCGCCTATCTAGTCATTTCGACCACTCTAGGCGGTTAACTTACTGGTTCTGTTCACTGTCTTTCCAGTTCGAAGGAAGCAAGCTGCAGAAAGATCTCCGGACATACCTGGCAGCAGTAAAAGGTACGGTCTGTAAGAATAGCTGTGGTAACATAACATTTGTAACATTTTGTGCTGAGAAGTAAATGACATCAGTGTATGACAGAATAAAAAGTTTATTTGACACTGACTAGTGAAAGCTGAGAGTTCATATCTCCATTTACAGTACTTAGAATAGTAGAAATATGCAGCCTACTGGTTGTATGAAATGTTTGGTGAGGTTAATAGGCATATCTTGGGGATGGTTGTTATTGGCCTCTGGCATAAAATGGAAGCCCACTCCTTCCTTAGCGGCATGCTACAGAAACGCAATGTGCAAATTCGATGTACTACAAATGTTCGAGACTCTTGTTATAGACTCCTGGGACATTTCAGATTGCTAGTAGCTGATAGAAAACATTTTTATAACGCAGTTCCTATGATACAGAAGACAGTTTGGACAAATAACAAAATGAAAAGTTTATGTTTCTGACATGATCCTCTCTCTGTTCCGTTTTTAATATATAACGTTGTCCATTTTTTTAAAGACAACAACACACGGTTTGCTTCCACTTAATTCTGTGATCCCATTGATCATTGTCATTTCTCAATCTACTTCCTCTAATATTTTATCATAATATGAAGAAAGAGAAAGAACTTCAGTGTTCAAAGATAAATACTTTGTAAAAATAAAAGCCTGGAAAGAAGATGTTTATGTTCAAAACAGCTAATTTACCACTTGTAAAAGTATAGATATGTTGTACATTTTTGCAAAGCAGACATGTGATTTATTCCTACTAGCTCACACTAAGGGAGGTAAATGTTAAGTGCCTGTCTTAACTTTTGTTTGTTCATATAATTCACATAAAGTATTGTCATGGGTTTATGGTGGGACCTTGTTTTGTAAATAAGGTTCATCCCTGTTCTTTTTTCATTGGGAGGGATACTTGGTGGGATGCTACTGTATCATTCAAAATTTGAATCTCTATTTTCTGTCTTCAAGCAATGCATGAGGCCTCCAAGAAACTGACAGAATGTTTGCAAGAAGTGTATGAGCCAGACTGGCCAGGAAGAGATGATACTAACAAAATAGCAGAGGTGAGATTCTAGTTTATCATGAATCATTATTATGTACCATTATCTCCATTCCATGGGGGCCATAATGATAGGGATTGATAGCACTGCAGCCTGATCCAGACATATATATTCTTCCCTTCTTAGTCCTTTGGTGTGGGCATAAGAAATAGCTTAGAAATATCCACATGAATACTAACTGTGGTTTATCATTGTCTTTGTAATGAATAAATTGTGTTTAACTAAAATTATGACTTAATAAAACAAGCCAGGATCATACACTATAATTTGATCCCTGGTTGTTTTCATTAAATCATAATTTAAAGTAAGTGCAGTTTTTTTCTTTTGAACATAGCGGTAAGCCATAGTTAATGTTGAATGTGAATGTTGTAACATCTTCCCCACGGCCACTCCAGCAGAGAAATGTGTGCACATGTACAAAGGTTGAAAAGAATCATTCATGTAATCTCAACTATGGTTAACCTTTATATATGAAGGAGAGCAGTGTGCCACAATACATCATGTGATCTTTAGAACAACAACAACAACAACGTAACATGAGCTGAACAGTGGGAACTCATTTAAATTCCTAAGAGAGAACAATACCAACAGAGATATGCCATTTCTGAGTCATTGAGTAGACCTGCGCACTTGCTAAGCTCTTGTATTTCCTTTAGGAGCTACAGGAAACAGCTGAAAATCAAAAATCTCCCCAAACCAAGTTATATCAACTTTAGAAGAAGGCATAGCTGAACTTGGCATTTCTTTTCATTGACAGGTCCTTTCTTGGCTCTATCTACTACGTGACAGGTAGAAATTCAACAGGAGGGTTTAACCTTCTTCTATGACTGATACAGTGAAGGAAAATCCTTTGTCTGTTGAATTTCTACAGATATCTTTTAAAAATACAGGAGCTCTGCCAGCAGAAGTGGTAGCAAGCCAAGATGTAGTTCAGTGTTTTTAAGCATATACTAGGGAAGAAGTAAAGTAGAAACATATGTTTTAAAACACGTACAGGTTTGCTTTGGGGCATTTAGGGATTCTTTGCAACTCATGGTTGAACATATGCTTAGTGGCATCCATAATGTGGGAAGTAAAGGCATATGCAGGAGATATTACCATATTTTGTGCTGTTGATTGATCACAAATAGTTTTTTCTGTTCTAGAACAGTGACTTGCTATGGACAGATTTCCATCAGAAGCTGGTGGATCAGGCACTGCTAACTATGGACACCTACCTCGGCCAGTTTCCAGACATAAAAGTATGGGACTCATTTTTTCCTCTCTTGCTCTCTTGTGTTTCCTTTGTAAAAACTAGGTCCATGTGATCTGTGAACTGAAGTTGACTTCTACAAGAAATCCTTGTGTTCTCTTTAGGATCTTACTGTACTTATTTTAGGCTGTGGTGTAGAAACGAGGTCTGTTCTGTAAAGAGATAGGAATCTGATTTTTCCACTGGCCAAAGTGGATATAGTCAATGTAGGATAGCAAAATTGCCCCCCCCCATCCATTTAGCCTCCTTGCATTGCATGTAACTAACATGTCCATATGTAGAATTCCACCAAGCAGTTGTGAGGTATTGTTTCCTAACCTGCTTACAAACCTTAGCATCGGTTGGTTTGGAACTGGCTTTCATCTCTGCCAAGATGTTGTTGCTGACTCCTCTTGCTGTGCATGTCATCTGTATATTGGGGAAAGAGGGGCTGAAGCATAGCTGATGTACAGATCCAATGTGGTTTAGAATCTTGTGCCATCAGCGAGATCCACGCCTCAGACTTTCCCCAAGATAATGTGCAAATTACAGTGCAAATATGTTGGTCACTGTAAAACTTCTTGATATGCCTAGTATTTTACAGAAGATTCTAGAGTTTTCAGTATGAATGAGAACATACAGTGTAATCATAAAATACAAATCCAGCGGTAAGTTATTTATTAATAGCAGTTGGATAAAAATATATTAAAATCTTATTAATTGTCTGGCAATAGGGATTCTAATAAAGCTTGTCCGAAGAACAGTGTTTTTGGTCACAATTAAGCAGGGCACTAAACTGATCTCATGTGTACCAAGATTTTGCTAAGTATTGTTTCTTGCATTATTCGGAAGTACTGTTCAGTAGAATGAAAAAGTATTGTCTTGCCCAATTTCCTGACCAATATTAACTGCTATGTTTGGCTGCATTCCACCAGTCCCTCAACATCCATAAATACTTTTTATTCTGCAGTTTCCTCCTTCATGTGGGTTCATTTTTTAGCCTCAAACTTTGTCCTCTGACTGTGGAAGGAGCAGTTGCTTTTTCAATATCTGATGGCCATAAGCTTATATAAAATTCACGTGGCCCAGACAAAAGATCTCTTTAGCCTTTCCCCACCTATTTCATTTCTCATACCTCCCAGGCCAAAATGTTCCAACACTGAAATGGTGCACCCTTTTATTTTATTTATTTTAAATAACATTCATAGGAAAAATAGATGTATATTGCTACAATGCCTGTTTTTTACACAAATGATCAGTCTGCACAAAGATTCCTTCTGCACACAAGGACCAAAGACATACCTGCAGAATATGTTTTGTAAATAAAGGAGATCTGTGTAAATCTTAATTCAGTTTACAGTTCTCCTTGTGCGTTTCTCCTTCAGGCTAAAAAAGTTTCTCCTTTGTTTTTTTAAAGTAGGAGAGATGAGTATTTAAATACAGTTCATTTAAGAAATGGAAGGAAAGGATGTTGTACAAAGTAGCTTTTGTGACTGAATTATCCCCTTTGTCACTGAATGAGGCCTTCCTTTTTATCCAGAGTAAAGAGTCTGTTCCTCATTTTGACTTGTTTTTCCCATGACACCCCTTTCTTTCCCCAAGAAACATAAATCACATTAACACACTTTTGAAGGGTTGGTTAGATGCAGTGAAGTTCTTACGTATAACGTTATGGGGGAGATCTGTTGTCCTATCCTGAGAACTTTTCTCCCTCCAGGCATCAGATCCTATCCCATGAGCTTTCCTCTCACAAATGCTGAATAGTTTTGAGAAGGCTGAAAAGGAAATGTACTTGCCATATGGCACAGCTTGTAACTACGTTCCCACATGGAAAAGGTCAGCTTGGCTTTGTCCCAGTGAACTCAAATATCTCCTTCTCCTGCGTCCCAAAAGAGAGAACACACAGAATTTTCTCTTTCACTTATGGCTTAAATTTAGTGAATATAATTGTTAGCGTGTATGTACAAACATGCATATTTGTTTCCACATTTAACTTTTATCAGCTACATCATTTACCTCTAGTGGTAGGGTTGTTGGTCCCCCCGCCCATTTTTAGTTGACCTATCTGCATTTGAAACTGTTGACCTGGCTAGCCATTTGCTTAAAAAACTCTGTAAAAGCGTTTTTTTTATTATATAGGCAAGACTCCATTACTGCTGTGAGGCGGAAAAAGTGTATGTATTTGTATGTGTGTATCTTCCTATTTATCTCTCTTGAGAGTTGCAGTTCAACTTTAGATAGTTCACGCCAAGAAGACCCAATTTTTATGGGAATATGTGCCAGAAAGTCAATGTGAAATATGTGTGTAAATCAGCCTTGACAAGTGGCAGCTAAGTGGAAGGAAGGAACAATTGTAGATACTGTTTTTGATTTCCTCAGATGTTGTCTCATATAGATGCATAGTTCTTATTTTCCTCAGATGGTATAGTCTCATATATAGGTGACTGAGAAGATTCAGCTTTAGATGGAATTTTATGTAAAATGTGCTGCAGTGCAATATCTCTTTAATGCTGATAATAGAAATAAATGTGATATTTCACAGAATTGAGGGGTGAGGGGAATGTATAACAAGTGGTAACATGAATGCTGAAGTGTTTGCCAATAGATACTGAAGTCAATATCCTGTTGCACAGTTATCGAAGTGGCGTATTGTGGAAGCAAATTTCAGTTAAGAAATCTCTGTAGCCTTCTGGAGGTTGAATCTGAAGTTGAGTCTTGAGTTGACTGAAGAGCTACTTGGATGAGTAGCGAAACATTTCAAACTAATAAGAAAGAAGTCCAGTTGCCATGACTCAACTGCCTGATAATCTCACCTGGATGACCGAGAATCTTCACAGATACTCTGTAGACCTTATTTATTGCATGCTGAGTCATGGGACTGAATAAGCAAGATAAAAATTTCTTAACTTCTAGCAATTCATTTCAAAAAGTTGCTCTTTGTATAACTGCAGAACAGGATTTCAGCCTATGATTTATTAACTGATTGTATTGATCCTGTTTATAGATATTGCAAGTAGCCATACAGTTGAAAGTATCATGATATGTTAGTTGCAGCTTCATAAAGGACATCTATGAAGAGAAGCAAACCAAAACTGTAGTTTTATTTTTATGTCAGACTCATGTCTTCCAGATGTGTTGAACTACAACACCATCATTCCCAGCCCCCCAACCCCAATGGCATTGTTCATTGGGAATGAACAGGGGAGGAAGCCAGCATATTTAATGGCACTACTCTGGGGAAGTCTGTTTTATATTCATGTTCAAGCTCTTGTGTTTGAGAGAGTTGTTTTACTCAAATAGATAGTAATCGTTTGGAGAGCTCTCTGAATGTTGCAAACCCTTAAGGAAATAGAGGAGGTGCATTTACCTCTACGAGGAGCCAAATGGATATTAAAGTAGAATGGATAGAATTTCTCATAACAAATTCCTAAACATGTTTACTTGGAAACAGGTGTGCAAAGGCTGTAACCTGGCAAAATAATTTTGCCTATGCTTTCTTGAGAGTAAGTCTTGTTGAGCAAGACTTGTTTCTTCTGAAAAATAAGCATGTGTTGTTAGAGGCTTCTTCATTTCAGGATTTTATCCTCCTTCCCAGTTTTATTACATTATGTCAAGAAGTTATACTTAGGTGCATTCATTTTGGGAATGTTCATATATTTCTAAAGAACAACCTTATGAGGCAGATTATGTTAGGAGCCGGTGGTTTACCTAATAGATCTCTCCAATCATTTTTCCATCCTGCTGGCTCTCTGTTAGCAAATCTAACTAATAATTTCATTTTTCTACACTTGCCTTTCCCAGTGACCATCAAAATCTGTAGCTGAGTCTTTGGGATAGTCTTGGGCCAAATATTAAAGAAAAATGACTTCCTTGACAAAACCATCTGAAATCTACCAGGTGCATTTAATGTGGCTGACTTTTAAAATATGTCAAGTGATTCTTTTCAGACTTTAACTGGTAATAGAAGTATGTTAGAGATGTGGCTTAAACCAAGTACAGCTGGTCTGACTGGCTGCCAAGTCAGGAAAGAGATGTGAGAGCACAATGTATAGACTTGGACATAAATACAGCAAAAGCTGCACATGCTTGAGAGGACATGACATATTCCCTTGAACGGTTTACTTGGCCTCTTAGGTTTAACAAGCACCATATTTTGTGCCCTTTGTTCTTTTACCTAATGTCATTTATTATTTTGAAAAGAATGGGAATTATTTCAGATGGCTGTCTCTAACTCTTTAATGTGATGTCCATTTGTATTTTACCATGCTCTGCCACATTAAGCATGACACCATCTGTGAAAAGTTTTGAAAACTGGAGGGGAAGGGAAAAAGAAAGGGCGAAAGGGAATACTTCTCCATGGTGTATTGCTGCTGTTGTGCTGCCCCAGCTTCTATGTTTCTTGCTTCTGCGGTTTCCAACATAGTAAATAAGTCCGTTAAATTACATGTCTCTAATATTCAGTAATGATTTGTCTTTCTATTTTTCCATCTCTCCCCACTTCTTTCAGTCTCGCATAGCTAAACGGGGAAGGAAACTTGTAGATTATGACAGTGCCAGACATCATTATGAGTCTCTACAGACTGCAAAGAAGAAGGATGAAACTAAAATTGCCAAGGTAAAAAGGCTCTTGTTAAAAGTGGTATAAGTTGTCTCTTTCTTTTTCTTTTTTCCTTTCTCTTTCTTGTTCTCTTTTTGCCTCTTTATCAGGTAGCATTTACATGATTGTTGTTAGCTGTGTTTTCTGTTTTGAAGGGACTGCTGTTCATTTTCTGTTTGAAGAACATATTCTGTATGTATACACAAAATACTTGCAGTTGCAGAAGCAGGTTGTGTACAATAATGCTTAAGCCGCCTTTTATACTTTCCCATAAACTAACTGATTGTTTAAAAGATAAGTCAAGAAAGCAGATATCAGTGAATGCACAATTCCCGAAAATCAAGATTGGCCTAGTTTGAAGGGAATACCATGAATTGGTATTTGTGGTCAGGATTGTAGGCTGTGTGTTTATGCTGAAATGAAAGTATTAAGCAAAGGCAGAGAGGAGACTTGAAGAATGAAGTATGTTCAATTTGAAGAATTCTTTGAAAAGCCATCCTCTTATAACCAGACATACATATAATGGGATGGAGGCCAGTTTTGTAGCCTCAGCCTATGGATTGTTCCAAACCCTAAACTGGAGGTGTGCAAATTGTGGCGTAAACCACTTCAGACACTGCTGAACTAAAGCTAACATCTATCCTAATCCTATTTTTCCTCACCTAGTGATGCTAGTTGAGGCTAATTGGAGATGCTACCCAGTGACATATGGTCACCACAAGTTGCCCACTCTTACCTTAAACCTCTTTCAGTGGGATAGCCAAGAGTGCATCGTCTTGTGTGGGAAATGAAACTGCTATGTAGTCATGAAGGCTGTTAATGAAGGAGCTCATATGAGCAACATATATATGTTGGGATGATTTTGTAAATTCAGGTTCAATGTCTATAAAAAATACTGTGTTTCCCTGAAAATAAGACAGGGTCTTATATTAATTTTTGCTCCAAAATGCATTAGGGCTTACTTTCAGAGGATATTTTATTTTACAGTCATGTCGTCTTCTGGTTGCTGCACAATGGTGGAGGGTGGGGTTCACTTAATTGGGGCTTATTTTTGGGGTAGGGCTTATATTACGAGCATCCTGAAAAATCATACTAGGGCTTATTTTCAGGTTAGGTCTTATTTTCAGGGAAACAGTAGGTTTTTGTAAAACTCTCCTCATGAATATTGTTTTGTTTTTGCTCTGAAAGGGGTAAACACATCACCACTGTGTGAAAATTCTTCTCAGTTCTCAGAATGGGAGCTATCATTGGCTTGGCTAATCTCTCTTTCATTAAAGTACTAGAGCAAACTAGACCAGAGTGTAGTAGAGCTGAGACTCATCTACTCTCCAAAGGTGCAGTTTTGCTGAATAATAGGTTCCAGTTATGAGATATTTTGGATTTTTGAATATGTTAGCAACACATCTGTATATTAGGGAGCTAATTAATAGTTAATCTGTATGTCTGAGTGAGAATTCTGATGGTCAGCTGACAGCAATTTATTTTAAGCACTTAGAGGCTGGTTTCTAAACCAGTGTTAGATTATTTAAGAATAATAATGAAATGTTTTTTACTGGGGCTTACAAGACAAAAAAATTCAAATGTTACAGCTAGATAAAGTTACATTAAGATGTTTAGAACATGAAGTTTAGATAAGTTATGCAGTATTTTAAAAAATCTGATGTTATAATATGTGTCAGTCAGGGAAGTAGAAACATTTCTTTGGAATAGAGAGAGATAGAAAATTTCATTTCAGACTAGAAGGACATCACTTCTGGAAACATTTCTTCCTGTGTTTTCTGTAATGTGTATTCCGTAGCATCTTACAATGTTTGTTTACATAGTAAAGGGCATTACTTGATTAAAGGGCTAAGAGGCTATGCTTCTGGTCTGACAGCACATGGCTTCCCCTAAGTCTGGAGTGGGGAAAACTATGCCTGTAGACCTCTATGCATAATGTTCCAAGCTCTGGAGAAGCTTGTAGGTATACACCTATACAGGATTCATGCCCTTGAAGCTAACACATGGATAGTGGGGGCAAGAGAATCAGGCATCCATATGAGGAAGACCAAAGTCACAGCTCTGCAGCCCCTTTAATCACTTGATGCCCTTTCATATGGGTTGCAAATGTTACCATCTTCTGACCTAAGAAAGGCTCTTGTGCTTTAACTACAGGTATGGCTGGTAGATGCTTGGTTTCTGTGACATCTTTCTTTTTCTAGAACTGACAGGAAAACCAGTGAATCCTCTCACTCATCTGTGCACCAGTCTTTCAGTTAAAGGCACAAGAGCCTCTTTAAAGAATAGGCCTTCCTAGCCATGTTATAATGTCATGTAAAAAAAGAAAGTTCTGAGTAATCTGCATGCTGGTAATAATAATGATGATGTTGTCTCTTAATCCTGGCTTTTCTCAAAAGTTACTGCTATCTCACAGAGGGACGCCCCTCCACACACTCCCCCAGCTGGAGTCTGTTGTGCTCTAAATGACTAACAGTTTCTTCTCTGTTGCTCTCTGCAGCTGGAGCGATCATTCGTAAGCTCTGTTGGCTTTGGTGTTCTTTGACCATACCATGGGGGTGTTAATTACAGTAGATTTGGCATGCTACTGTAGGATTCATCCTTGACTTGTCTCTTAATGCTTCCTTTCTCTCCTGTTTGTCATGGGTCATTGGCCCAGCCTGACCCTATAACACTCCTACCATTTAAAACAAACAAAAAAGCAAAACTCTTGTCTGTTTTCTTGTTTTTGTTTTGAAAATGCTTCCCACACAGCCTGTCTCGTTGCTTGAGAAAGCTGCGCCTCAGTGGTGCCAAGGGAAACTACAGGCGCATCTCGTAGCTCAGACTAATCTGCTGCGGAACCAGGTGACGGCCCAGCCTACTTTGCTGTCTAACTCTGCATGTGCTATTTCTGGCTGAAACCCTCTGCTGTGAGTTGGATTCCCCAGGCAGCGTTCACTCTAAGTAAAGGTTCTCACGTAGAAGTAATATATAATGAAAATACATATTCTTGTCCTTCTTGAAGCTATAGAGCTCTGTAATCTTTCAAGTTGTGTGGGTTTTAAAAAAAATTAGTATCAAAACAATCATTTCATCTACACATCTCTCTTGAATGCTGACTGGTGATGCTAACTCATGACCTGGTTCTAGGGCTTCTAGATGTGATCCTTGGTCTAATGCATTTGGCCTCAGAGAAATTTACAAGGGCAATGGGAGGACAGAGTCAGTTTATATAGCTGTCCCTTCTTTCTGTCCCTTGCTGGCCTAAAAGTTGTGTATTAAAAATTTCACAGTAATGCCTCCTACTCCCACAATGTTTGCCTTCCACCCAGATCTTAACCTTCTATTGCTTGTCCACGATCCCCAGCCCATGGTTGCTGTTCTCCCTCCTCCAAGCCCAGGAAACCATTCTAAAAATGTTACAGCTACTGCTAAATCCCCTGTACCCCCTCCCCCCCAGCTTTTCATAGCATTTGACAATGTTAGTCTGTTTCCACTTCCATACTTTGTACGGACCCTTCTTGTGGCTTTTAGTGTATCTGATCATTCCGCTTTCTTGGAAGCCCAAATGTTTTTTTTAGCTCGATCCAGAGCAAACACTGGGAGGGTTCTATGTCAATTTGAGACACTTTTTGCGTTGAATTAGAAAGAGGGCTGGACTATGAAGACTTTTCTAATTCTAAATTTTCCAAAATCATTGACAGGAACATGGGTGCCACTTGAAATGGAACCCTGCTCAAAATCCTTATGATGCCTGGGAGTTAGGGGAAAGAAACTAGTAATAAACCAATGAACGTTAGTGGACAACTACTTGCTGTGGGGTTGGAAACAAGAATCTTCTTGCTAGATTCTGTCCTGGCAGCAGACCTGAGTTGAGAAGCAGGGTTGCAGAGGGAACTGGATGATACCACTGCCAGATGAGAAACTGAGCAGTAGAGAGAGAAAAACAAGTAGTCAAGGACTGGAAGACAGTAATGCATTGTCACAGGTAGAACTTGAGCTAACTACAAATTGAGAAATGGCTCCTTGCAAATTAGGGATTCATTGTTGTATGTTCTTGGATGCATCAAAGGATCTTTCCCCAACCAAAAATCCTCTACACTACGACCCCTACAATCCCTGAAAGTTGATCATGCTCACTGGGGCTCATGGGAGTTGTGATTATTATACCCAGGTCCAGACTATATCCTTTAAACTGCACTGTCCTGTTTGCCCAGAGGTGTTCGAGCCCAGCAGAGTAAGTTGTGGTTAGGGCTGTGAAATCAGCTGGGCACCTGTGCCTCACAGCACTCCAGTCTTCCCAGATTTGACAGTGCTTTTAGGGAGTTTAGAAATCCACAATGCTAGGCACACAGAACCAGTATGTTTGCCTTGCAAGGTAGAGCTGCCATTACACACCCGCAAAGGTACTAAAATTCCCAATAGATGGTCAAGACAAAGCCTTGACCACAAATCCTTTGGGTCAAAAACCCAGACAGTTGGTTGGAGATTTTTTACCTATTTTATTAAAGAGAGCTAAAATATAAACTTTTTCAAAAAGCATTTGAAACAAAAATGCAGTTGAGAAAAAGCTAAGACAATTAAGAGATCATACCAGAAAACAATAAAGCTAAATTATTCTACCTAATACTCACACACTGGTGTAGACGTTAGCATAGTTCTGAAACATACACAAAGTACATGGCAAGGCACAACAGGATAGCAACTGCACATAGCATCTCCTTAGCGATAAGCTAAGCCAACTGAATTTATTTCCAAACTCCCCTTTTATAGATTAAACATTCTATTATAAACCCTTCCAGATGGGTCCACCAATCAGGCTTTGGGTTCCCTCAAATGTTTAAGAAGACTAGAGCACTTTCTGCCCTCCACCCTTCATAGAAAGATCCCTCTTCTTCTTCTTCTTCTTCTTCTTCTTCTTCTTCTTCTTCTTCTTCTTCTTGGTGTTCTATTTTATTAGAATAGCTCAGTTTGATCCATCAGATTGCTTTAAAATTTAGCATACAGCTGCCATGAGTCAAGACTGAATCTGTTCTAATGTTTTGTGTACAGAATGCTCTGACTTTGTGACAGGGGTCTCTAGCTGTTATCTTGGGAAGGCTACCTGCTCAGCCCAAGCTAGATGATCTTTGAGGTTCACTCTACAAATTGTAATTAAAATATTAGCAAGAAACGCAAAGCAAAGCAAAAGAAAAAAGAAGTTGTGAGACCTTAAAGACTAACTGCTATAATTTAATAAGCAAAAGAAAAAGAAAAAAAAGTTGTGAGACCTTAAAGACTAACTCCTATATTTTAATGTAAGCTTTTATGAAACTAGCCCACTTCCCCAGATGTAATAGTGAATGTATGAGCAATCGTTTAGTTTCTTTCTCACTGCCATTAGTTGCTGACTTTCATCAGTTGACTTTGTCCATTGCCAGATGGACAAAGGCTCTTATCTCTGTAACTATAAAAACTGGAATAGAGTCTTTTAATAGATAAATAAGAAAGGTGGTAGGAAGTGGCTAGAGAAACTGACCAGAGAAATGTGTCCAGATTAGACTTGTATGACAAAAACAAAGTTAATGCACCAGCAGTGTGTTCCTTTTTGGATCACATTCAGTTTTCAGAGTGTGAAAGAAGGGAGGCAAACTGTTTATGGCAGCAAATTCCTGCCTTTTGACAATTTAAATGCTGACTAAAAGTAATCCAGATGCCTGCTTTGTGAAACAGGCTGAGAAGTGGCAACCTATGAACCAGGCACGTCAAGCAGTTCCTTTCTTACATCTTGTTGGATCAGAATGAGCTATAATTTCATCCCGCTTTGTAAGGGAATTCCCTAATTTGGGCAGGAAAATAAAACACAGTGGAATCTAAGATTTGGCAGAACTCCCAACTATAGTTTTTAAAATATACAAACAGATTATTAAGTTGAAGATCTGAAAGGAATTCAGATGGTGGGATAGTAACCCATTGTGATCAAGCAACAGTAAGTAGTCTTAGTCTGTTTTGAGTAAACCCATTGAAATTGATCAAAATTTCAGTGAGTGTAATCTAAGTAATACAGTGTTACCTCGACTTACGAACGTCTCCACTTGCGAACAATTCAAGCTACAAACAGCTCTGTTTGCAAAAAGTTGCTTCGACTTGCAAAAGGAGCCTCGACTTACAAATGAAAAAATAAAAAAAAACTTTCCTGCCCTTTTTTTGACAAACGAAAAAAATTAAAAAAAACTTTCCTGCCCTTTTTTTGACCTAAGTGCATCTTAGGTGAAAAGAAGAAAAAATAAAAATAAAAAATTCACCCATTAGTGGTAGAGAACCGGCTTTGCATTAGTTCTATGGGAACTAATGCCTCTACCTACGAACAGCACCTTGACATACATACAAAGAACAGCCTGAATGGATTAAATGGTTTTCAGTGCATTCCTATGGAAAAGTTTGCCTCAACTTACAAACTTTTCAACTTAATATGGATTAAGTTCGTAAGTCGAGGTACCACTGTACCACTTCTGGGATGAAGCCATTGTTTCTTGGGCTATATACAGTTTTCAAAATGTAGCACACCAATAAAACACTGCTAGAAGGGTTCATATAACTTGTACATAGCAGGCCCAGAAAAACAGCTGATTCTGATTTAGAGATTCAGCAGATCTCAGGAGTAGGTGAACAAACATCTGTAAGACCCAGTATGTTCTAGTTAGTCATCTGTTTACCTGGGATTTGAATCCATGTCTTCTGGTTCTGTCTGGGCTGATGGCATGGCTTTGATGCTTTCCCCCACAATGGAGTGACTGTAGACATTGAGGTACAGCTACAGGAGGAAGTCCTCTAGCTTCATTAAAAGGTAGTATAGACAGTAGGCCTAGGATATTGACCCTGAGCTAGCAATTTGCACCAAAAGTAACTGGACAAATCCAGTTTTCCCTTTATGTTCTGTCCCTGACATGTCCGTTTTTGCCATTGTATTATATGCCTGTGGGCATGGCTGTCTAGATTTTTTATATTATTTACACATACATACATAGGGGACCCAAGGTAGCTCAACATTAAAACTATACAATAATCCCATATTTTAAAATTCCACAGTACTATACTAAAAAGCAAACATTTATCAATATTAAAATAATTAAAAACAATTTAAAAAATCTTTAAATTCAACAAAAATGGCACTCCTGAGATGTCCTCCCCCATTATCACTTAAAACCTGCTTGGAAAGGAATGTCTTTGCCTGGTGATGGAAGGACAAGAGGGAAGGGGGCAGCCTAGCTTTATGGGGCAGTGCATTCCATGGCCTGGGGGCAGCTGCTGAGAAGGCCCTTTTTTGTTTTGAATGTTAGAAAAAATAAAATAAAGACAACATCAACAAATTAATAAGACTGCTTGGTAAGGCACTGTCATCTAACTGATTCTCCATTGGCAATGTGATTCCCTATGGAGAAAGAACAGAATCTGGAATGGGTCTGCAAGTCTCCACTTGCTCATGTCTAGGGTGAACGCTGCTTTGGATGTTTCTTTGTTGGTGTATTGGGATGTCACAAGCCCTCCCTGACGTAGATTTTTTTAGAGGGGTTCCTGGAGCTATAGAATATTAATAGTTTTATCCCCCAAGAGTATGGAACCAGTTTAGTATAGCACTGAGTGAGAACATCATTTAATAGGCAGCTGGTGTGCTCCAAACCACAACCATACTACTGAATCCTGATGACTGATTGCTTCAGTCATTCCTAAGTATAGATTGGTTGTTGTTGTTGTTGCTGTTTGGTTGTTATTGTTGTTGTTGTTTTTGTTGTTGTGCCACATTTCTCCCAACAAGGGACCCATAGCGGCTCAGTTTTTCCCCATTTTTTTCTTCTTCTATGCATTTGTACAGAATAAATTAAAAGATACTTCAAAATAAGTCTACTCATCACCAACCTCCTTTTAAACAAAGCTATTGGCTTTATAGCAAATGCTTTTGTTAAAGAGGTACATTTTTTGGCAAAGAATCTGACTCTGTATTCTAGAATGTTACTGATGTTAGCACCTTAGACAGACAGATTAGATCTTCCCTTCTTTTTCTAAATAAAAGCAAGAAGTGTAGAACATAGGCCCTTTTTGACAGTATGAGTATTCAGAGGCCTGGTCATGGCAGTGATACATTCTATAAGCAGTCCATAAGGGCTTGTGGCAGACCTGTTCTTCTGGTAGAGTGTGAACAAACTGCTTTTTGTCCTCTCCTCCCAATTTGGCCAGCAACTGTACTGGGGACTCGAGAGTCACTGTTTCTCTATACTGTGCAGAGCTATAAATGGATCCATATGAAAGCTCTGGAAGAGAATGCTGTCTGGTAGAAACAAACTATTCCTTATAATGTGTTTGGCTCTGTAACACTTCTCCACTGGCAGCACCGAGCACACAGTTGGGGTCACAAGTAGCGTTTTTATATTCACACTTGAGTTGTGTGATATTCTCACTTACACAAAGTTCACCTTGATTGAGGATGCATGATTACACTCACTTTTTATGAACAAAACCTTTCCCAATCATTAATGGAAGCATTCTTTTTAGTAAAGAAATCATGTTGTGGGGTAGGTTGGTAGAGAGCCCCTACATAAACAGTTTATATGTCTTGTCCTCTAGATTAGATTTCATGCCATGATTTGGCATGCCAGAGGAGGATAGACCAGAAAATCAAAGGACAGTATAGTTGGGAAACTGGTTGCAGAGACAGAGATTTGAGAGTGCAGTCACCCACTGTGCATCCTAGAAGAGCCAGCTGTGATTATGAAACGGGTGGTCAATAATAGGGAGTGCGGTGTGAGGTTAGGATCAACTGAGAGTGGGGATCCTATTTAGAAAACATTTCGTTTGTATATTTACTGGAAAAAAGATGGATTTCCGTTTCATGTTTATAATTCCTATTTGCTTGAGATCTTCTGTCTGAGAGAGATGGGATCTGTTGGTCACCTCAGATTTGGTGGTGGGGAAAGCATTAATCTGATTTAGCATTTTGCTGAGACTACAACATAACCCATATTTTTTTGGATTTTCACACTACAAATTACTGTGGAAGGCCATTGCTCAAGAGCTGGCCTTGATATTAGAACAAATATTCTGCTGGTTCAAGCTCATTTTGGTTTCTAGAGGAAGAAAGTTCTGTAGTGTAGCAGTCCAGGATTCTGAACTTCTATTGTGGTTGCTTATGTAAATCCACATTCTGCTATTGTGACTTAAATTATATGAGAATTAGTTTAAAGCTTAGAGTACCATTGGATATGATACAAAGTAATATAATGGAGATGGGAAGTAACAGGATGTAGAAGACATGTGAATTTACTGCTCTCTCAGCATTCACAAAATGGCATCCAAAGTCATTGTAGGAGATTATTGGCAGTTTCTTCCACTCTTGTCTATTGGGCTTCCTTGAATCAGGCCTGGCCAATTCTTTCCAGCGTACATCTCACAGCGTACATCTCTCCAGCTCACATCTTTTACAGAGAGGAACAGGTACGACTCTTGAGCCTTACGTAGATATAGATATATCGAATGTTTTAGATTTACCCATTTGTAGAACGTGCATTAAACTCATGTGAGCCCTTCCCTAAATGGTACTACATGCCATGACAGTAATTGCCCCATCTTTCTTCTCCAGGCTGAAGAAGAGTTAGTAAAAGCCCAGAAGGTGTTTGAGGAGATGAACATTGATCTTCAGGAAGAATTGCCTTCACTATGGAATAGGTGAGCTCTGGAGACAACTCTATACCATGCCCATGTATTTACTTGGTGGTGGTGGTGGTGGTGGAAGAGCTAAGTAGATCTTGACAGATTCTAACTCCAGGAAGGCTCAATAAGCATAGCCATCTGTCAAGACTCCTTTGTTAAATGCAGATCATGTGGCTCAGTCTTGCCTGCCATTGTAATTCTTCAATTTTGAATAATTGAAGGAAATGAGATCCTGTAAGCAACTCAGGTGAGATTAAAGGAGAAGCACCTGTTTGTGCCGCCACTGACTTGTATTATGTTTCATTTGCCAGTCGTGTTGGTTTCTATGTCAACACATTCCAGAGTATTGCTGGACTAGAAGAGAACTTCCATAAGGAAATGAGCAAGGTAAGGATGGATAACACTGTCTTGCCTGGTGGGGGAATATTGATATAACATGTAGCATCTCCCCTACATCCTTTTCTCAGTCATTGCTGTAAAGGGGTAGTCTTAGGCACTGATATGGGCACAATTCCCAGCTTATATCAGTGTTTTTAACCTCTGGTGTTCCGCTGCTTCTGAGGTGCTTTTAAGGACATGATTCTCAGCTAATATCAGCATGCTTTACCTCACTGGTGGCCTCCTCTTCTAGGATACTTTCATAGCTAGTCTCAAGACATGGTCTCAAAAGCATCTCATGTAGCAGGCTCATTGAAGCCAGGCAGTTCTGGGCAAAGCCTGGAAAGGACACTATCTAGGAACAATATGTGTTATAACCCTGAGATCTTTTTAGTTTTTAAAGATCTGAGTTCACAGCTTGGAGAGGTGACTTTTTTTTTTACTTGACCTGCCAGAAGCTGTGGCAGTCTTGGAGACAATGCTGATGCTCCAGGAGGACACTGTGTGGTCCAAAAGCTGCACTTTGCCCACCTTTGCAGCTTCATATGTGAATATTTTAATACTAGTTCCTGAAGAACATAAACAGGGATAGTTCTATCACATTTCTACTCCTCTTGAGAGTTTCTCATGGACAGCTGTTTGGCCACTGTTGGAGCAGACCGCTGGACTAGATAAGCCTTCAGTCAGAATTTACATTGCAGCTGTTTCTAAATCAGGATTGGAACAACTTGTGGTCATCCAGATGTTGTTGAGCTGCAACTCATGGCATCTTTTAATTAGCTATGTTGGATAGGACTAATGAGAATTATATTCCAATGACATCTGGAGAGCCACATGTTATGTATATTATGTGTATTATTTATGTTTTAAATAATGCAAGACCTATTGACTGAGTGGCTTTTCAGGAAGGCAGTGGCAATGGTTCCTACCTACAGTCTTTTATTTTTTAAAAATATCCCGCCTTGCTTCACTTGATTGATTTCCATATGTTATTATCCCAAGTAACTTCAAACAGTGTCATAAGTCTAGGTTGTGTGTTGATTGAGTCCTCCTTTACATTTGCAAGAAATTGGCAATTACTGCATTTGGTAGTGACTCCACAGCCTGATGGATCTTTCTGTCAGTGTCATCTCTGATTGTCTGGCTGGAGTCAAACAGCCAAAATTTGTTGCAGTCAAACAAGTAACTTTTCCAAGTTCTGGAGACAGTACTTCTCAAATCTTTCACGTACTGTAGTTCAAGGGAGTTCTTCAAGTGTAGACAAAACTGTTGGGTCAGATCATAACCAGTGATGCATTTTTCCAACACTGTAGCATTTTATGGGACAAGAATCTTAGTTTGATACTGCTTGCCTTGGTAACTAAACTTTATGATCTAGTTTCCAACATATTTTCTGTGTCAAACATTCTGTATACAAAAGGCCTCTTTGTTAGGAGATATCTATATTTTATTGGCGTCCAGGGAGTTCAGCTGAACTGCTGCCATGGCAGACCCATGGATTCAGGCCTAGATCTAATCATCCTTTGCCCAGTATGAAAGCTGTGTTTGGCCTTATGTCTTGTTTTGTGGAAAACTGTGGTTCCATAGCAACCAGCACTGCACTTGCAGGCAAGGTTTCCTCACTACAGATGGGGAGGGAGAGCAGAAGGAAGGCATTAAGTCCCTGTGAGAAACAAAGCCCCTGTGTTGATGCAAAGGCGATAGCCATACAAGTGTAGGACTGAAAGGTGGTGGTCAGTTGTTGGGGGGAGAGGCAGGAAGCAGAAAGACACACAAACTGAATTTATTTGTCAACGAGACAGAGACTTCATGTGGCACCTGGTCCTGGAAATCAAGTGATACTTGGTGCTTTCAAATTATGTGACGGCAACCTGGGGCAATGCAAATACCGTAAACTATTTCCTTCAGCATAATGCCGTCTTCCTTAGATTCCAGGTACTCTTTTATGTATTTTTTGATACGTTGTTATAAACTCTTCCTTCAGTTTTTCCTTTTGTTAAGCCTTATTTTCCTTTTAATTTTTGTTTCAGTTGAACCAAAACATGAATGATGTCCTTGTGAATCTAGATAAAGTACATGCAACAAGCACCTACCCTGTTAAAGCTCAGCCAAGGTTAGTGAATGCTTACGGCTGTCTTTCTCTCTAGGGATGTGGGGAGTTTTCCTCATATGGTGGGAATGTGCGACAATATTTGTTACTAGTGTTTGCCTTTTTCTTTTGACTTGGGTTCGGTTCTATGTGGGTAGTTAACCATGCCTGTCATCTCTCTCAGCTTCCACTCTGCTAATGTAAGAATTGGCTCACACATTGTTTTTCTGTTTCATGTGGTGGATGTGTGTTTCAGTGTAGGGGTACAATCTCCTTATACTCACCAAACAGCACATGGTTCTTAACATGCACAGAATATGGTGGCACATTCACTCTATTACAAAAATGCATTTGGTTTAGAAACACCTTGTTAAATATAATAGTACTTGAAGGGAAGGAAGAGGGAGAGATGATAGAGAAGAGGTAGGAAACAATATGTATATATTTTGCTTCTATAATAAGTAAGAGTATTCACTTTTGACTCTTGTCTGGTCCTCTTTATAGGTGTGGGAAGAGCACTGTGGGTATTGGGCTATAGTTTAAACAAACTAGAACAGCATCCATCAGGAACCATTGGCACAATCTCCTGGTTCCTATACCTTGTTGTAACTTAGCCTGCAACTTAGCCCAAGGATGCGTAATTGAACTAATCACTTTCTTTCCCTGTTTACTCCTGCCTCCCCTCCCCTTCCCTTCCCTTCCTCTGTTTTTCCCCTTTGTCAAATTCTAGATTGTAAGCTCCTTGGGGCAGGGACTTGTTCACTTGTGTTCTGTAAAATGCCATGCACATTGGTGGTGCTATATAAATAAACAAATAAATAAACCATAATAGCAATAAACCTTATTTTCAGCTTTGGGTTAAAGGCTGCCTATTCAAGCTTGACTCTGTTACTTATGATTCATATTATTATCAAGGAGTAGAGATCTTCTGACACATTTATAAATTCAGTAAAAGTAGATGGGGTTAACATATGAATTGCAGCCATGAGGGTGTAATATAGTTAAGCAGCACCATTTAGTGCTGGCATTTAGCCACACATAGTGTCCACGCTCACATGATCTTATCTTTGCCAAACTGAGAAACTAAGACCGTCGGCTTTGGAACATAGAGAGGTATTTAGCCCATTTTGAGCTGTGGCTTAATATTCTGGGTTGGATAATTCGAGGTTTCTGGTTTTGTGCCTATGGCACAAAAGGAGGAGCACAGGGGGGTTCTCAGGAGTCTGCATGGACAAAACAATTCACATCTTGACTTATTAAGCCAAGTTATAATTCTCTGAGCTAAGCCATTGTATGGATACTGTTCAGTCTCTTTCAAGCTTTTTTGTGTGTGGAGGGGAGCCACTCATACCTAAATATTACTTCTAAAACAAACAAACAAACAAAAAGGAAAACAAGAAAAACCCCTCTTGTGCCATCTTTAAGACTAAAGTATTTATTTTAGCTTGAACCTTTTCGATTCCAGTCCACATCTTCAGACCAACAGGCTAATGTCTCCGTGTTTGCCATAGAATGGAAGAGAAACCGGTTAGGCATGTTTTGGTACTGGTTCTGCTGTGAAGTAGGGAAACTTTGAAGTTGCTGAAGTTGAAGCTCATAGCAGCTTCGAAGCCATGTATCCATTTATGTTTTCCCCAGCCCACCCCAAGACTTTGAGGAGCACACATCCAGAATTTTTCTACTTCTTTTTACCAAGTTACTTTGACATTCTTTGTGAAGTAAATCATTATATATTTCACGGTTTTGTTTGAAGCAACCAACACAACTTAGTAGCAAAAAGAGGAAGAAGATTGTAACTATTATATGCTTTCTCTCCCACCCTTCGCTCTGAAGGGGAAGGTAGGCCTCACTTGTTGGATGAGTTGGCCTTTGGCTATCACCCAAAATGCATGCATGAGTGATGAAGCAATTTGGGAACTTGGGCTCCCAGCTGCTCTGAGTCCCAATTGCTGTGTGAGCAGTAATGAGATGAATGTGCCAAGTCGGCATTAGGAGAAGGATAAATGTGGCCTCACTGCACTGTGCTTTCAGAAAGCAAATGGAGTGTAGTGGTGCCTTATCAGTGTCAATGTACTACTTTACACCCACAGTTTCTCTGTGCATCAGATATATGTATACTCTTGGTAACAGATGACAGCATTTTGTGTGTCTCAAAGACACAGAGTGATTGCTCATAAACCATCCATAAACACTATTCTGAACCAGACTAAGTGAAGCAGACCTGTGAAAAGTTTAAAAATCAAAGAACAAGATGCAAGGAGAATGAGAGCAGAGCTGGAGGACAAATACGCATACTAATATGATTGAATCTAGCATCAAGCACTGTATTTGTAATTTCTGTAATATACAAGACAAGACCACTCCAAATATATGTATAGTGTCACAAGCAAAGAAAGAGAAGCAAGAGTTTTTTTTTAAAAAAATATGGTAAATATATAACTACAGTTCAAAGATAGCATATTTGGGAGATTACAGAACTTCCAGAGTAGCCAGCAAGCTGTGTCAGATTGCAATTCTTCCTGTAAAAAGTTGTTGTATGAGAGAGTAAGAAGGGCATGTGCACTCCAAATAAAAGAACTTTTCAGGATCTTCTTGGACCGATTTCATCTGCCACATCATCAAATGCACTCATATCAATGCAGTGCCTAACAGACGATTACATATCACAGTGAGTTCAACCATCACTTGGGTCCTTAATACACAATGTTGCTTAGCTGGAATTATGAATAATGATTTCATGTTAAGGAATTACCCAGCTGGCTTCATCCAGGTAGTTATGGGCACTGAAACTTCGTGTCATTACTGAGTGCTAAACCGATGGGGTGCCTTGCTGAACAGGGTTATAAAGTGATTCCTATGTAAGGTTTGAAGAAGACTATAGATCCCTGGGAATACAAACTGTGTGTCTGGGAGACAGCTCAGTCTGTTCATGAATATGGTGACTGACCAGAGCCTACTGGTTGTTCTGGGCCAATTGCTTCCTAATGGTTCATTCATGTATTCAGTTTATATGCTGTCTTTCTCCCAAGCAGGGGACTCAATGCAGCTTCCCACCCAAAAATGTAGGTTTCCCCTATGTGATTTCTGATGTAACTTTGAGGCAAATGAGATCATGGAGTTGCTTATCATCTTCTCATCCACTGAGCATTTTATGCAGTGCTTAACAAACATTTCTCTGCTGCAAATGTCCAGTGGACACCTTCCCTTCCAAGCTCATCTAATGTATATTGGAAGATGACTCTATAGGTCATCTTTATACAAATAACTTCATGGTAGCTGTGTTAGCTCATGCACGGAATCTTCGCCTTTCTTTCTCATTGGTTGAGCCGTGTTGTAATGGAGATCACTTACGTGTGCCGTCCTCAACAGAAAGAAAACTAAACTGTTCTCCAGACTGAGGAAAAAGATGAGCAGGTACCAATACATTGAGCTGCATTCCCTATATGCTCTGATCTGGATGCAAAAGTCAAAAAACAAGGATGTATTCTAACAGCATAGTGCATTGGTAGCCTGATGATTGCAATGGTGGTGTTTGCATGATTCAAAGTGTCTTGTCTTGAAATTGTTTAAGATTACACTCGTGTGTCTACCTAATCCATATAATTTATTATTTAATTCTTTATTTTGTTCCTTTTCCCTCTTTTTGCACTTTGGTAGTGAGAGATCTGTCAATCTCCAAATGTAAAAAATTAAAAACAAAAAATTAATAAAAAGTTACAGATCTCATAGCATGGATGAAGGGTCGTACTAATATCTTGTGCTTTTTTTTGTACAGTGCATTCATAGTCTGGGTAGTGGCTTAACAAGTCAAATAAGCAGCAGTTTTTTCTTACAGGCAAAGATTATGGGCCCTTCCAGATGAGGAAAAAGGATAGCCTTTCTCTTTAGTGTCTCCATCTGTGTTAGCTTCATGTCATATCCCAGAGAGGATGTGACATGAAGAGTCCTACAGAGATTTATAGACCTCTTGGGCAAAGCTCAGAAACCTATGGTTCATCATAGCTGACAAATATGCCAGTCCCAGAATGAAACCAGATAATCATAGACAATCATTTCCAACTTCATCTGTGTATCTAAGTATTAGGTCTTTTCTTTGTTGCTCAGTGTTGCAATAATAATTCCAGGCAATCTCAACTTGATGAGTTCTACGAGCTTTATCATTGTATAGCTTCTAGTTTCCATAACATAAAATTACAGTATTTCAGAGTTGTTCTAACATCCAAACATCTTACAGTTGTGTGATGTTATAGGCACAAAACTTTATATCCCAAAGTCTTACAGTTATAAAAACTATATGGCAAGGGTTGAACTGAGATGTTCCAACTCATGTCCCAAATCTCTTTTTTACACACACATTTTGCATACAATTTGTTATTCTGTCTGGCAGTTCTGGTGTCTGTGTCACGTCTATGCAGGAGGTCAGACTATGTGCTATAGCAATTACATTGGTGCTGAAGAAGGTTGGTAGGTATTGGTAGCTGGCAATAGCAACTGAAGAGGAAACAGAAATCAAGGAGCACATAGATGCATATTGGAGTAAATGGACTGTTGTGTGTCTGTGGAGATGTGCTATGTAACTATACTTTGTTGGACATTCTCATTTGATGTAAAGGTGGTGAAATCACAGCATGATTAGTTGCCTTCTTCTTCCTCCTGCTGGTTTGCCTCTTGGAAAATGTTCAAACTTTGAAGCTAGTTGTCATACTCTTGGTGCATGACCCAGATTTTAAGTGCAGGAAGATTTTTGAATCCTTGTGATGGGCAAGAATAAAAGTAAATGAACAACAGAAGGGAGAGGAGGATTTTTTTTGCCTTTACTTTTGTGAAAGTCAGTAGGAAAACTGATCTTTTTTCCCTACCTCATCACACATTTTCTTTCTTTATACAGTACTCTATCATAGCCTAGAATGGCATAATTGCATTTTCTATCCTGATGGAGATTTTAGTTTTCAATAGATACAAAGTTGGTCATCTTAATTTGTTCCTTTATACTCTTTCAAACGAATATAGAGCTCAGCGAATAAGGAAAGTTGAGTGCAGGCATGGCAGACTTGGTGTTTTATTACTATGTATTCATATACTAACTAGCTTGCTGAATAACATGCATGGTGGCTGACATTACCATGTGATTCTAGTTGAAAGAGTGAACTCTCAATTGCTTCCTTCCCACCCTGCCATGACTATATGTGTCTTTGAACATGATTTGAGAGCTAAAACACCTCTGTGAGATAAAATAAAAGGCAGAGTGAAATAGATATGGTTGAGGATTTATGCCTGGTGACCCAGTCCTCATGACTTGCATCTCTGCCGTCTACCAGGTGCTTCCAAATATTTTTGTTGAGAATAAGTAAACTCCTACTGAATTTAGTGGGATTTACTTTCAAGTATGTATGCGAAGTAACAGGAAATGAGCTTCTGCATAGTTTTTATTTGCTACAGTGGCAAGATTACAAAAATAAAATAACTAAGTAAAAACCATAATCCAGATACTCAGATGAATAGGGTGTGAGAAGCAAGCTGTCAGCATTGCTTTCCAAGAACAGTCAGATTAAGTGCAGCTTGTTTGCTATGTTCTTGACCCTTCTACTCTGTGTTCGGATTAAAGTATGCTGCCCCATTTCCTGATATGTTTCTGTAAATGTACTTCCCAAATGGCTTTCATAATTTGGAAATGGAAGTAGTTATTGTGTGATACAGGAGTTGTGTAGGAAGAGGCAAGATAATTCACTAAGGACTGTGTATGTCAGTTTGGTATGTCAGAAGCTTTGGCGTATGTCAGTTTGGTATGTCAGAAGCTTTGCTTAGTTTTCAAAATAATGTATTTAATAAAGTCCAAATTCTTTATTCTTAGAGGATAAGAAATCACTATATACAAAGGCCAAGCTACATTTAACATTAAATGGGTTGTATATGTCAGAATTGGGAAGCACCTGGGAAGAACGTTTTTCAAACAAGGCTTTCCTATTTTGTAGGAAAATCATGATGAAGATCAACAAACCACTCCCACTGCAGTTTGGTGTGGAAGGGAAGCTTCTATTGTAGCTTTCCTGATACCTTTAGTTGATGAGCGATGGCCTCAGTGTGGTAAAGGAGGAAATAATTAAATTTAACCTCAACCCCCCCTTATCAGTAACTTTTTGGCTCTGAAAAATTGGGTCAGGTATACAATTTTCTGATTCTTGCCAAAAGAACACATTCCTTCATCTGTTACAGCACCTGTACATTATGCCTTCTCATTTGATCTTGACATTTTGTATTGGTGCTGCTTCTCATTATTTTGTCTTCCTCTGAAATGAACTGCAGGTGCATGCATACACTATAGTAGCACTAGGTTGTATACTGTGAAGTATTCTTAGCATTGCAGTGGAAAGAAGCATTTCAGTAACATTCCTAGGGATAAAAACAGGCTCATTCCAAACACTGATCATAGAACTCTCTCTTTCTCTCTCTGTCTTTCTTGCAGCGATAGCACAAAAGCAAACAAAGCCCCCTCATCTCCACCTGATGGGGCCCCCATCACTAGCCCAGAGACCAAGGCCGTCAACCATGAGCCAGAGCCATCCACTTTGGAAGCCCCTGGGGGAGGCATCCCTAAGTCTCCATCTCAGGTAGAAAGAGCTGCTGTCATCACTGCTGTATTTTTCTTGGGGAGTTACATGTGCCTCACTAGGTTTCTGTGGCTGTTATTCTACATAGAATAGTGTTTTTTCTCTCCAGTCATGTTATTCTATAATTCTGAATAAGCTTATCTAGTCTCTCTTGCCTAATCTGTTTTCTCTAACTAGTAACCAACAATAGTACTTTATTTTCAACAGGACCATCCATATGCTAAGCCATTCCTATTATATAACATTTGTGGGTCAATAATTGTATGTGAAAGCAGTGGAAGGTATGTTTGAGCTAAAAAAGCTTGCATAGGCATGTATAGCCTGTGGGTGAACTATTGATATAAGACATCAGGAGAACTAGGCAGTGGAATAAGGAAGTTAATGAGCTGTGGATTTTTTAAAAAAGTCAAATGCTTTGCTAATTGGGAAAAACAGGTTATGAATTCTGTTGTCCCTGTTATAAATGAAGCAGGTAAGAGAATTAGATGAGATATGGGGTAAGGGTGTCACCTTCCTTCATGTTTAGCATCTGTATTGGCTGTGTTTGAGATGCAATGTGGCACATGTGTATGATTGCCTTTTTAAAGAAGAATGAAATTGTTTTCAGGAGGTCAGTTCTGTGATCACCAGTCAAAAACTGCAGCCATCTTACAAACTATAGAGTGGCAACTGATCTTACAATAGTATGTCCCATATAAAACCTATGCCTTAACGTCCCCTGTATGACCTCCTGCTGCCAGCTCAGCAGCTGGGAATCGTACCAGTCACTGAACAGTACAGATGAGAACTTCAGCCTAATCAGAAGGTTAGAGCAGGAAATGACAAAAATATGAGCACGACCTAAAGTTATTTATGTTACAGTATTTTCCAAAGAGACATGTTTTGTTTTTGCCAGACAGCTATCTTAACAATTCTCAGTTATAATGGTAGTTGTATGTAGTTGTATCTGGCCGTTTCCATGTTCACCTTGGCCAGACAAAAGTAAGTTTGTTAAAATACCAAGCTGTATTTTGAAATTGTTGTGTTGATTTAAACTGTAACACATGGCCATGAATGATAGTCTTTGATGTTTAAGTCTAGCTGTGGAGATAAATGATCCCTTCTGTGATATCAAGCAGAAGTATTAATATAAGCTAGAGTAGGAAATGGGGGGTCCTCCACATATTGGCCCATTCTTCCTATCAGCAACATTGGGAGAACCATATATTCCTCATCCCAGATGTAAATGCAGGGCGATCCTCTGCATACTTACGCAGAATCAAGTCACAGGGATGATAGGTAAGTATGGGTAGAATTGTAACCTTACAGAGAAATCCTATATATACCTTCTTAGAGGTAAGTCATGTTGACTACAGTGGTACTTACATGCAGATAAATGTGTAGAAGATTGCACCCCGAACTTTCTCAGCTTCCCACTGAAAGTGACAAGTACTATTTTAATACCTGTGGTTCTCTTTTTTGTAAAACGATAGGCTAATCTTCCTGACATAGATGTGAATCAAATGCCACCTGTGGTCTAGAAGTTACTTCTTTGAAATGCCTTTTCTTATCTTGGAAATATTCTGACTCCAGATAGACTGTGTCCAGATATTACGGAGTGCATTAAACTTGGATGTGGAAAACCTTAAAAGTTCAACTACAGGCATTTCATTATGAAAGTAACTCAGTGGCACTTCTGATATAAATATCAGTCCAGGCAGCTGGTAGGTGGAGTGTCTGCTTTATTTGAAAAGTTGCAATATATACAGTCCTGCAAATTGGATCCAGGGAGGTCAACCAGAATTAAAGGACTTGTTTCTGTGTGTGACTTCTCCAGCCATCTAGGACTATATTTGTGAAAGTATGCTATTTTTGGCAACCTAGTTGGATTGAGATAATAGTATTTTCCAGGAAAAGCACTGGAGCACTAATCACTCACAGTCTCCATGTTTCAAATCCCAATTATTGCTATTTCAGACAGTTGAGATTAAGAAATGCAGGTGGTACATCTGCTCCCATTTAAAAACTGATGGTAGCCCAGATGAGGAATCTTTGGCCCTCTAGATGTTTTGGAGACTATATGATATCCTGTTCTGTAACTTGAACTATGTAAGGCTGATGACATGATAGCCATGGAGATTTTTCAGAAAAAGTGCCATCCATTACATAATTACCTAAACTTTTTAGGCTTTTGTATGGGCCTGTCTTGCAGAGCAATTACTCATATTAATCAGCACATTTATATCTGTGCATTGTGTTTTTGGTAGCTTTTCTTAATGTCAATATTTACATGTACAATATTCCTCAAAGGAAGCTCTACTATAATTCCTTGGCTCCTCTAGCTGTATTTTTCATATTGATCCTGTTTTCTTTTCTACACTATCTCATGTCTGAATGAGAGGGCAAGGTCTAAAAGTGATAATTTTTTTGTATGGGGATGAGATGATTTCAAGGCTTCCAGCTGAGTTTTAAGGAACAGCTAACCTGCCTCCACTGTTCCTGTATATTCTGGGCTCATTTTGGGCTAGTTAGCAACACACACATCCATCAGCATGCTACTGTTCAGCCTTTACCATTCACCTCTTTTTCTCTCCCTAAATGATAAATCTGATAGAAATGGATTTCTTTGAAAATGAAGGATGAAGTCTATACAGGGAGTTTTTCAATAGCATATTAACCTATAACTGTGTTAGCTGCTTTGGATTAATTAAAATGGTAATTTCATCCAGTAAACTAGACTTACTGTTTATGGAAATAGAACAGATATTGGATTTCTGGTTTTGCAGGTTTTTTTTAAAAAAAAACCATTGTTCTTTATGCTGACAAGATTAGCTCTTACACTATTTGTTACCTTTATATCCTGCACTTTCATTAAATAAAGAGTCTGAAGTGAATAACAATAGTCAAATCCACAATACCCATGCCATTGTAATAATCAATGCTACAATACAGGTAAGGTATCCATGAATAAAATAGATTTGTCATTCTGGTACCTATGATTGTCTTCCTCTTAGATTAGGATTGGGAGCATGCAGCCTTCTAGATACTGGGCTTCTCCCCCATCCAATTTATAAGATTATATTTATTAAAAAGTAAATAAAATACTTAGACTTTTGATCCAGTTTCACTTGAACAGAACTTGAAACAGTTATCCAACAAAAGCTCACCATTATTCTTTAAGGTGTCACTAGATTTGGCCATGCTGATTGAATAAATTCGTCTGTCTGGGCTTGACACACTTCAACATTTCTGCCCTAGCCTTTCTTTCCAAACCTTAAAAATCCAAGGAAGTCTTGAATTCCTCAAGGGCTGGCTTCACTGATACCAGTCCATCATAATTGGTGTCCTCTTCCTAATATAATCTTCATCTTCATCTTCTCTGGATATTATTGGATTGCATGTCTCATTAGCCTTAGCCAATAGTGGAGGATGATGGGTGTTGCAATCCACCAACTTTTGAAGGGCTACTTCCTTCCCATACTTGACTCAAATGATACCAGTTAACTGTCCTCTTAGACTTTTGGAGGAACTTTCCCCCCTACTTATCTGGAGTACTTGGATGGTTGCTCTCTGTTGCAGACAGTGATAGCAAAGGTGCAGTAACTACAACATTACCAAGGGCACACATGCACACTCCTTTTTTCCTTTGTTGACTTGAATCAAGTAAGTTTTTAAACCAATATATAACCTTGCAGAATCTATATTATAGAGAGATTGGGGTGTGTAACCTGAACAAAAAGGTTGCTTATATTCTATGACCTCCAGCTGCCTGTGTTTTGCCTTTTCTCCCCAGTTCTTTAAAGAATATCAATCAATAAAATAAAATGAAATAGGCAGAATATATAAGATGCATTCTTATAGTTATATCAGTGGGGACTGGTTAAGGCTAAGAACAAACAGAAAATTTATTGTAAAACACTGCCATCAGCTGGTGTTTTCCCCCAATGCATTTGCGGCCAGATCTTAGCCTTATAATTCTTTGTGCTCACACACTAGGGGCAGATCCAAAGGACCATAAAACACCGGATTTTTAAACCAGCAGAAGGAAAGACACATTCATTTCTTCACAGGAATTTCAAATAGAATATAAGTAGGTCACCTACAAAGAAGGAAAGCTGTTAATCACTTAGGAATGCTTCTGATAGACCTTCTCTGACACAATCCAGAAGTTGCTATCTGTGAGTGAATTAGTAAACTGGGTGTGTTGAGGAAGAAATAAAATCTGGAAACTTTCAGCATGAGTCTTTGTAAGAAGATATGGCAGTGTTGACAGACTAGAGTTCAGCTAAGCCCTATTCAGCCCAGTGAATGGTATTTTCAAAATTGACAACTTCCTATTCTACACCTATGTGTACCTTGGCTTACTACTGAGAAGTAGGAGTCAGCAAAAATACTTCTTAAACCTGCAGTCTCACTTGTTTTTATTCCTCCTTTTCAACACATTAAATCCTGACATTTTTATTCTGCCAGAGGTAACTTCAAATGCTATTGTTCATAATGCTGTTTCCTACTCACCTACAGAGGTATTGCATAATTAAAATATAAAGCTTTTTAAACTTGAAGAGGGAAAACAAATAACTTATCTGACAACAATTTTATGGAAACATAAAGTGCACTTGCTTATTGAGAAAACATGCACTTAAATTACTGAAAAACATCAAATTAAAAGAAAATATCAAGAAGAACCACAGCAGTTTCAAAAGCTAAAATAATAAATATGTAGCAAAAAGCGATACAGCAAAATGTACAGAAAGGCGAGAATTCCTCTGAGTAAAGCTTCTGGTTTCTAAACAAGCATTTAACCACATTGCCTGAATGCAGGATGATTTACCTGTAACACTGGCAATAAATGAAAAAAAAATCGCCTACATGCCAAAATGCTGAAGCGGAGTTCTTTATTTCTCAGTAGAGTTCTAATGCAAGTTCAGTGGACGGAGCAGAAAAATATTATTTATTTCTTTTCTAAAAATCATGAATAGCATTTGAAGAGGGCATCCGAGGGACTTAATATTTTTCCAGATAGAATACCCTTTCCTTGTAAGACATCTAGACTTCAGCCAGTTTTTGTCAGAAGACTGTCCTGTTGAGAGCCTGGAGGTCCAGCGGGAAAGGGGTCTTTAGGGAGCCTTGGAAACAGAGGGGGTTGGATGGGAATAAGAAACTTTAAATTAAAGATACCAGAAGAGAGCTCACAGGCCTTTCATACAAAATTCATGTCTAAGCCATGAATTTATTTCTAATTATATTTTTATTAAAGTATAAGGAGTCATACGGTAAATTATGTAGCATTCTCCCAGGCAGCCTAAATTTTCCCCATCTTATATGAAGCCAATGGTATGGGGCCCATTCCATTCTGTTTATTCTGTCCAAAATAAACTGCAGTCAAAATTCTTGTCAAATGGTTGTTTTTTGTGGTGCAGTGGTTAAACTGCTGTACTGCAGCCAAAACTGTGCTCACAACCTGGGCTTCAGTCCCAGGTAGCCGGCTCAAGGTTAACTCAGTCTTCTATCCTTCCGAGGTCAGTAAAATGAGTACCCAGCTCACTGGGGAGTAGGGGTAATGTATAGCCTGCATAATTAACTTGTAAACCGCCCAGAGAGTACATTAAGCGCTATGGGGCAGTATATTAGCAACACACTTTTCTTTTTTTTTCTTTATTTGTACTAGAGCGTTGCACAATTTAAGATTATCAAGGTATATGATATATAGGTAAAATTAAAAACAAATTGAAATTTTAAGGTAATTAGACTATTTTTCACTAGAAGCAGGCTACATCAATAGCATTATCTTGGCCATTTGCTAGATCTTCTGTTGTACATATGGTGGGGCATAAATTGCATACACATAAGTGCTGCATTGATTGAATTTCTCCAGTCACAGAAAATTTGTCCTGTATCCAAGTTGCCCCATTTTACTTGACTATTCTTTGATCTTCCTATTTCACTTTTAAGTCTGTTAATGAACATACTTGTAAGAGGACAAAGCCATTTAAATTCAGACCCGTAATTTAAAAAGTTAAACTAAACGTAGCATGGAATTTTACATGAAAAATGTGAGTGTGTAACTTAACGGTTGTTTTAGTACTTCCTCTTACTTGCAAATCTACCCTTATTGAGCAATGTTTTTAGGGCATGTCCCTATCTTCTTCTAGTAATAATAGGGAACAAAAGATGCTCATACGTTGTTTTCATTGGAAAAAAAATTTTTTTTTACACTTGAGATATTCAGCCTGCTGTTCCAACATTTTACCTGGAAGAGTGAATCATCCGAGCAAATTTACAATTTTCCTATTCATTTAGAGGCATAAAGTTGAGAGAAGTTCTAGGAAGGGAAATGAAAGAAAAACAAGGAGTGGGGGAGAGTAAAGTAAAGGAGGGGAGAAAGCTGTAGTTGTGTAAATATGAAACACCACTCAGACTGCTACATTTGGACCATGTTCGTGAAAGAAAGAAAAAAATGTGCAGTGCAATATGTGGTAGGAGACAGAGATTCCCAAACCAGCAAAATGTTCTTGTACCATCTGGGGTGTCACAATGGTACTCTATTATGATTCCAAAACGAAACTGGACCCAAGTGCTTATGGTTGAATCCCAACCATGCTTAACATGCAGGAAACTCATTGTAAGTTGTGGAGTTGACCCAGCATCACTCATCAGGTTTGTGTCATGAAATGTTGGGAGCATGCATCTTTCATGGACGAAATGATCTGGCTTGGGTATCTTCTGTCTCTCTATATAGATAGGGTAGTGCTGCTGTCTTTCCTGGCTCCTCAGCACTTTTTGATTGTAATATGTAAATCCCTACCTTGTTATACTAGAAGGTTGCATAAAATCTAATTACGTATGCATGACTTATCTTATGCATATTAATTGTGTTACGCTTCTCCTCTGCAGAAGGGAGCGCTGCCAACGACCCGAAGTGTAACTAATGATGCAAAGCCTTCTTTTGGAAGTGTGTGAATGTTTCTCCCTCCTCCCGTGTGTGTGGGTTTTTTTTCTTTTCGATCTCCCTCTAAACCCTCTTTTTGTAGTTTTAATTATTTTATTTTATTTTTTGCTAACCTGGTTCCTGTCTCTGGTTTTTTGGGTGTTGCTGTCTGTGCCGTCGCCATGTGTTCGCTTGCATGCAGTTGAGGAAAGGCCCTCCTGTGCCACCACCTCCAAAACTCACTCCGTCCAAGGAGATGAAGCAGGAGAACATCATCAACCTGTTTGATGACAATTTTGTCCCAGAGATCAGTGTGACAACCCCCTCACAGGTTAGCTTCTCCTTCTTCCCTGCCGTCTCTTGCCCCCTCCTCTGTCTGCTTCAACTTCCTATTATGTCCCTTTCCCTTTTGTAGAGGTGTCAGGCCATGAAAACTGCTCAGTGAGGGTTACAGCAGATGTGAGGAAACAACAAGATTTCAGCTGAGCAAACGGGGTATGGAGCTCAGTTTTGGGGGGCAGGGACAGAAACCTGTCTGTGACTAAAGCAGAAACAAAAAAGGAAGCAGCTTGTGTGGAGTGGCCCCACTATGTTCCTTCCCATCTTCCCTCATGGCAGCTAAGGCCACAAAGACCAAACCCATTTCTCCCCCAACAAGGGATGTGCATAGAAGGAAGGAAGCTTCATTCTTACAGATCATTGTGTTCCAGCGTATATACATTTGAAGTCTCCCAGGTGAAGAGTTCCAGCAACATCTACACTTGAAGATGTGAGTCAGGATATCCATGCTAGTGCCAGAACCTCTGAAAGCAATGCCCCTATGATGTTCGAACACTGTTGGAAGAACCATGTAACAAGACACTAGTATAGACATCCTGAAACTGTTGGAAGAACCATGAAAGTTGAGGCTTCTTTGTAACAAGACACTAGTATAGACATCCTGACTCCATATGGCTTGTGGTGCATATGAACCTGGCCCATGCCTTTTCAGAGCCACTTATAATAGTAAGCTGAAGTACCTGCATAGTTTTAGAGTTGCCTACTGTTAGAGCCAGGGTGGTGGAGCAGATTGAAATGGGATGCAGGAGACCTGCTCAAATCTCTCCTTGGCCATGAAAACTCAGGGGAGTAGCAATGCTAAGCTACTCCTTGAACATCTCACATACTCTGAAAAACTGTAAGCCACTCTTCAAACATCTCACATACCTTGAAAACATTAGGAGGGTTGCCCTAAATTGAAAGCGACTTGGCATGTAGCAACAACTACTGTCATAGTTGTTATAGTGTCCAGGGCTGGAAAAGTAGGGAGGTTATTCGTACTGATAGTAATTCCCTGAGATGAATGAGTTTTGTATCGGTGACTTCAGACACTCCAGGGAGAACCTCCAGACAGGTCAGTTCAAATCCTGCAGTGTTCACTTCATTGTTCTTCAGTCACTAGCATCCACTTTCTCCTAAGAATTCCCATGGCCCCTCAAGCTAACTTTGAATTGTTGCCAAACTATCTGACAGCAAAACATTGTCCTATAGCTTATTGCCTGAGGGAATTATTAGGCAAACGGGACCATAGAATTATTAGGCAAATAGACCTTTCTCAGGGATTACTTGCCTGATCCCTGTGAGGGGAGATGAAGCCCAGTCTGATCAGTTTTCTGGCTACATTTTGCACAACTCACATCATCCTAGTCATCACTATAATCATCATTGTGATATATACTTTAAAAAAACATTATTCATAAAAAGCATTGCATGACACCTCTAGCAGTTCTGTATCCTGATTCCGCTCTTCCTTCCCTACCTCAGTGCGGTGGCCTGCGGCTTTTACCTCTTCCTCCTGTTCGACGGCTGAAACGTTGCGTGAGGGGCCTGGAGTTGGGAGAAAAGGCAAGTGTAGGCCACAGGTTGCAGGGATTTGGGGGGGGTCACCTCACAAGAGTTTACACTGAAAGGGCACGTAATGCTAACAGGTCAATTAGGATTTCCCTTTGAGGCTGGAGTAGAATCAAATACATGAACCTATCACTTTTTAAATATTTTAATCTAATGTTTTAAACACCAGGCCATGGTAACTGTAGTCCAAGATGGCTTTAAAGTGCTTTTGAGATAAATTAACAAAGGAGTAGTAGGCGTGGTTGAATCAAGGAGATATAAGAGTCAGAAGCCTCTAAATATTTATGAATTGGTCATTTCTAAAGTACAAAGCAAAGTAGCAGCAGCAAGGTGGAACACAAACAAATGAAGAAACAAAAAAAATGTGTGTAAGTCTTCTGTGTGAGTGGACTGAAGAAAAGGATTCAAAACAGAAGTGGAAAAAGAGGAACCTTTGGCAAAACGATAGTTTCAGAATACAAAATGTAAGAGGTTTGTGGTGGCAGCATGCATGATTACAAAAAAAAAAAAGGAGACCAACCAGGTTGTGCAGTACTGAGAGCTATTTGAAAGCCTGCCTCTGGAGAAATGTTAATGGAAAAAGATAGGTCCAAGTAGAAAATAAGAAGTGAACAGATGTGAAAGCAAACAGAGCCTGCCTTGCATGAGGCATAGTGAGATAATTGTATCAGGTGGCAGGTTTGGCTGGTTTTAGAGGCTGTCAGAATCTTAGTTAATTCAGTGTGCATATATATATACGCATTGAATCAACTAAGATTCTGACAGCCTCTAAAACCAGCCAAAATGAGGGGAGAGGGTTGTCATTAAATCTTCTGCTTTAGGTTCCAAAATCAGCCTTTTAAATGGAAGTAAGCAAGTGTAACAAGTAGGAATAACAGGCTCCTGTTTAGGGGTGATTTCCCAGGAATTCATTGGAAGTTGTAGAGCTTTTGCCTTCTTAACAACTGTGTCTTAATTCCTAGTTCTTAATGAGATAGAAAACGTACACCCAGCTCTGCAAATTCAGACGCTTGCTGGTGGCTCATATGACTGAATGTATTTCCATTTTTCTCCCGGATAATCATCTTAGAACTGCTGAGCCATCAAGTCCAGCTTCTGTCAAGGAGACACAGTGGGGAATTGAACTCCAAACCTTTGGCTCTGTGGCCAGAGACCTAAACCACACATGCAGGGTTGGTCCAATGATTATTAGTTGGTGCTGCTGCAGGTAACTAAACTTAAATGTCATGAAAAGGAAGGAAGGAAGGAAGAAGGCACCAATGACAACACTTTAACTATTAAAGGACTTGTAGCCCTGCTTTGCATGGCAGCATAATTTAATTATGCATCTTGACTAGGAATGGTGTGGTGTATGATTTTGTTGTCAGTTTAAGGCAGCAAAATGACCATCCTTGATTGGAAAGTAGCAAAGCAGGGAAAGGACAAGCTAGAATCTTTTTCTCTTGCATCTGGTTGTTGTTGTTTTTAATGGGTTAACTTTTGGAGTGTGTGTGTGTGTTTGTTTTGGAGCTGTGCGAAAATATTCAGTCATGTGAGCCCATACCAGAAGTCTGGAGAAACATCCAATTGTATTAATATTTTTTCAGAAGCAATATGATCTTTGTTCACAGTCTGAAGACAAGGGTGGATGATTGATTACCTTTATCAGACCAAAAAGTCAGAACTGTATGCTAGCTTTTAACATCATTTTGGAACTTACTTCTAATGAGGGAACCTGACTTGCATATCTGGTCATGATTTTTTTTGAACTTTTATGTTTTTTTCTCTGCACCGTTCACATGTCTGTGGTGCTCAGCCTGATGAAGAACTATATGGGGTTGAAAGCCAGCTTATGTTTGTGATCCTTTTTTTAATAGTATAATAAAAGTATTGCCCATCTTTGCCTCTGGATCCAGTCGCATGAAGCTGTACCTGTTGCCTGGAATGATATAACTGGAATCAAGTTGACCACATCAGTGAAAAATATGCCTTAAAACAAAATAGACATGATGTGGAAAATTGTAAGGTGTCCCACAATCTTTGTTTTCAAAGTAGTCAACTTATGGGGCTGATTCAAATTTTGGGGAAATGGTGCTCCAGGAGCTTGTGTTTGCTCCTTTCTTCCCTTTTCTTCTCCTTGGTGTTATTTTTTTTTATTTTATTTTGGTAGCAGCTTTTATTTAGGGGTAAAGAGAAAAGGTACAGTTGCAATAGTTTCAGGGAGGAGAGGATTTAGATTAAGGAACAAGACAAGGGAGGGCAGGATTCAATGTCCTCTCTCAGGATGCAGCCTCCCCAGTCTGTATGAATCTGCTGGTTCCTAAAACACAGACCTTCACCATTAGAAGAGATGATTCTACTCAGAGATCTCCTAATGGGCTCGGTTGTTTAGCTCTTAGGATAGGCAGATTTAGCAACTGTGAATGAAATGGGCAAATATGCACTGTTTATTTATTTATTTCTGAAGAAACGTAAGAAGAGCACAGAGGCATCAGGGCACACCATGGGGAGCTAGAAAGGACACGAGAGGTTAGAAAAATTATTTGCAGTTGAGGGGGAATCAAAGACTCCAAATGAGTAAAGTGGCACTTTATAATGGTCTTTTTGACAGGTGAAACAAAGGGCTGTCCCAAAAGTAGGCATTCTGGTTGTATATCCCTTGTTTCCTTTGATGTCTGAGAAAGCCGTGGGCCACTGAGCAGCCTTCCCTCCTCTTCCACACCTATTCTTTCCTTGTAGCATGCCTCATCAACTCTTACACCATGTCTTACATTGTACATTTTTGTGTTTAAAAAAAAATAGCATTCCGACTGGAACTTATTTGGAATGCACATCACCCAAACTGGATACCATCATTCTGAAGGAATTTGGGTCTCCAACAGAGGAGTTTGATTCCTAGAAGTGAAACCATTGGGAAAAACTGGTGGCTGTTGCCTTCCATGCGCTCCCTATTCAAAACACTGTTTTTTATTGGGTTAATTATTTGGGAAGTATGGGAGGGAAAGCTAACAAGAAAGAAAACCCTTGGGACAGCTGGTGCAGGTAACAGGTAAGATTCCAGCATGACTTATTTCTTTTCACCTCCCCCTGTATTTTTAGCTGAGCTTGGAAATCAAATGCCTGGAAGGCCTTACTTCAAGGAGAACCTGTGTAAGAAATCTTCAAATGACGAATCACATGTACTGCTTAAGTTTTAAGGTTTAATTGCTTTGAGTGGGGAAAGAGCAATTCAGAGAACTGTCTCTCTAGTGTTGGTAGTTCACTCCTTGTTATAAGGAAGTAGAGAAAGGAGCAAGCAAAAGATTTAAAAATGAAGTGCAGCTGATAAAATGTTACAGCTGTGGAGAAAGTAAAGAACTAAGAAGTATATGTATCTGCGTGCATGTGAGTGTGTGAAAATTATAATGGCTTTGGCTTGAAAATACCCACAGTTTAAGATCCGTTAGCTGGTCAATTATCCTTTCACCCAAACACTGCTTCAGATATCATTTGTAGTGTTGTGTCTTAGTTTGGTTCAGAAGTGTTATATTACTCTTGAGTAGAATCAAGAATTATCCTACTGTATATTGGGGTAAAGGAATAATGCTTGAGCACAGCCCTGCTGAAAGAGGTGGATGGAACCTGTTTGAGGTTCAGCTGAAGTGGGAAGAAAGTGTGGGTTGGTGGTATTCCTGCCGGAATAGGGACATTACTTAAGTACTAAATGTCGGTATTGCAGGTGTGTGCCTGAAAACCCTAATTGTTAAGGCTATATAAAATAGTAGTTGATAAGGAAACCTTAATATATATCTCTTAATTGGCATGTTATCCATTACTGTATACTGTACTTGACTTTATGTATTCAGAAGATGTATAATAGAACTGGGGTAGTTTGTTGCTATTGGAAGTACAGTAACACCATAGTGTGGAGATCTTTAGAGTATGGACTGGCCAACAAAGCAATACATTGCCAGGTTCAAGGTAGCACAGATGTATTGTGATACTAACAGCAGATGTTTCCTCTGAAAGTCCTCTCCTCATCTTTTTAAGCTTGAAGTGTCTAGAGTACAGCTTCTACAGGTGTGTTGAAAGCTTAAGATCCAAGAGTTTCAGATCCACAGTTAAGATCTCTCTTTGGATAGACGAAAAGTAGTTCTTACAATACTCTTTGAGATTGTAGCATGATAGGTGTGACAGCTCAAGCCATGCAGGATGTTGATGCCTTGTTTTTCATGGTTGTGTTTTTGCTCAAGCGTTAAGCATACTTTTTGCCAGTGGACATTTGCTTCTGCTTTTGTACAGTAATGTTTTGCACACATCTTTTGCACCTTCAGCTCCTGGATACCACTTTCCATCTAACAGCTGCTTTCTCTATCTGACTAATATGCATACTGCTTTTCTTCCTTCATGCTGCCAAGTTTGATGCTCCTGGGCCCTTCCAGGAGGGAGCAAGCCTGTTGGATCTGGATTTTGACCCTATTAAGCCAGATAACAGCCCCATAGGGAAGTCTCCTACGCCTGCAGCTCAGGTTGGTTCTCCACTACCATTTCTTGACTGCATTAAGACAGCAGAGACCGCATCAGTGCCATTGTAGGATGTACAAATAGGGAGCTGAGGTGACCCTGGAGGCTTACTGATGTTGACACTCTATAACAAACATTGAATAGTTACACAATGTGCTCACATTATCTTAGCCATTCTAAGGCCAATCCTATAAGGCAGGCAAGTCTATTTTATGGGTTATGTTACTCAGGTTGAAAGAGTAGTCAAAATCCTCTTGTGGTTGCTACACAACTAGCATAACTTTTGGCATCAAGTTGTCCTAAGTTAAGAAATCACTGTAGACATTATCAGTTGCACATTGAGTAACAGAACTCAGTATGCAACAGATAATGTCTACGGTGACTTCTTAATTTTTGATGGCAAACTGTCTTAATTATGTCATTTGTGTTACACCATCATAACTAGGCAGGAGGATTTGGGCCAGAGATTTGCCAAGGGTCACCGTTGGAGTTCCTGAGAGTTCATTAAGTTTGTAGCCTTAATGTATGACACTAGTCCTTGTGTAGAACTCTTCTTGCAAATCTTGAAATGGTTTTGATTGACCTTTTTTTGAAGGCGGGGGGACCACAATAATAGGAAAGTAATCTCTGGATTTCATGCACATACAGGGCTGAACAAAATTACAATGCATAACCTTTTCCTCTTTTTTGTTGCATGATGGCTCATGCAGGCATTACTGATAGAAGAGCTTTATGGAACAATATTTTTAAAAAGTTACTAAAATGAGAACCAACACAACATGGTTGATTCTTTTGGGTCTCCCAGAATGCCTGAGGCCTGTTTAAATACTCATTGGTAGAAGGATCTCCAACTCATATAGCAACTGCAGAAATCAGAATATGATGTTAAAATTAGTAATCTATCTCCTGTTAGTAGCTAGGTAAGTTAAAGAACACCAATAAGGAAATGAGCAGGCAAAATAATACACAATATGCTTGGTTTGCTGTCAGTGTATAACATATTACTAAATTCCTGTCCTTAAATTAACTTGGAGTAAACCCTTAATAGCATATCAAAACTTTGTATGTTTGCACTTTCAGTGCTGGCTGAAATAATGACGTCTCTGTGTATATGTGTCCCCTCCCTTCTTTGCTATGCTTAGTCTTTGCCTTGGGACTTATGGGAGGTAAGATTTCTATTAATACAGCTTGTACAGTGCTTAGCTTGTACAAGTACTTTCTTCCTTGTCACAGTCGTGCGAAGATTGTCATGCCTGCTTTCCCTTTTTCTCCCTTGTTCTGTCTTGGTGTGTTACAACTACAACCTTCTGCCTTTCATCTGGTGCTCTGAGTGGAAAACTCCATCTCCTGTGCTGTGATATGAATGTGTTTTTAGTGGCATTCAGTGAAGCTTAAATTTTGTTGTTATGGTAGTTGCGGACTCTACTGCTCCTTTATTCCCCTCAGAAGGCTGCATGTCGCTTACTGTCTCTGCTTGTTGACCATGCTTAGTTCTTAGCTCCCATCAAACTAACTCATCCTCAGCATAAATGTATCATATATTTCTAGCCTTGTTGTACCTAAATCATCCATAGCAAAAATGGAGTATCTCTTTGTCAATGCTGAAGAAATGTACCTTCTTTTTTGTTTGTGTTTGGCATTTTCCCTCTGGGATAACTAAGGTTACAAAAAACCAATCCAGCACTGGGCATGTTGAAACATAAGTTCTTGCTTTCTTTCTGTTGTCTTCTAACAAACTATCGTTGTCTGTCATTTTTGTATATTCTCTATTGCCTTCATTAATTCTATGTCTCTACAGGATAATGCTTAATATGTTTAAAATGTGCACATCTGGGTTACATGTATTTGCCAAAATATGCCTTTGAGATGCCACTGGCCTTTCAAAAGAGCCAACCTTTTCCTGTTTCCCTTTTTCCTCCTTTGTGAAGTAGCCTTGTCTGAAGCAGCTGGTTCAAGTTCCTTTCCAGTTGTTGTCCCAAACATTTTTTGTTATTTTTTCCTCATCCCTTTCTTGTAATGATTTAGTAGATAGCCTTTCAATATGTATCCTTACAAAGTACAGTATAGGAATGGCACCAGATTTCCAGTCTTAAGGTCAAGAAATATATGGATATCACACCCTGCTTGCCTTTTTATCCTCAACCAAAAATATATTATTATATAGCTGGATTTAACTGCACTGGAACAAGAGTTGTCCAGCAGTTGAAGATTTAATTGTTTAACTGCCAATTAGCTGATTAAATGAGAAAACATTTGCAAATTTCCAAACTCAATATAAAGGCCTTAAAGATCAAAGTATGTTATTTATCTGTAAGTTATAAAGTGATACCACTAACTCTTTCATAAATTTCTTCCATGTTAAGTTAAAACAGGGAAAGTAAATTGCTTAAGCATGAGATCCTTGTTTCTCTGGTTAAAATTTGCCTTCTTCGATTAAAATAGCAGTAGTTTCACACAAAACTCTCTTTGAATTTTCTTTGTAGAATGGCTGGCCTCCTTAGATTCATTACCCAATATCATAGTAAGCTGAAGTGGAAGCAGTTGTCTTTTCTTTATTAAGTAAATGTGAAGACTGCTTCACATTAGCCTTCCTTTTACACAATTTACAATGTGGACCTGATCCCGCTGCCTGCAACCAACAAGAGTCTATATCATGGTTATGCTGCCTTCTTGGGTTAGGCTGTGCATAGGAAGTATGATGCAGAAGAGGAGAGTCATTTGCTACTATAAGAGGAGTATTTTGAGATGTGGAAGGATTGGCGTGACTATGGTAAAAGCCAGGACAGCATTCTGTTGGAAATGGACCAGCTGGATACGTGCATTAATGGGCCTCTAGGGCAGTTGTTCTGAAACTGTTAAAGCCAGGGCTTTAAAAAAATTCAGTGGGTCACAACTCCCAGAACTCTCCTGAGAATGTCTACTAGTCATAGTGACTGGGAGTTCTGACTGTTACATTCCAAAAATAACTTTTTCAAGCTCTGGGTAAACCACTGCCCGACAGTGCATCTAAGTTTGAAGCATTTACATCAATCAGTAATTCGCTATTGCCAGAAATGTGGATGTAATGGTAATGGTTGCAGCTGCCTTTTCCTCCATTATCCACCTAGTAGTAAAGAGCATTGGCCATTTCCAGTCCACCAAATTTGTTTATTCTGGGTCTGTTTCATATTGTCTGCTGTCTAACTTCTCACTGCACTCTTCCCGTTTTTGTATCTTCCCATACCCCATGCCCACTGCTACCTCTGCCCATTTCTTGTTTCTCCTCTCTCCCTCCTTCACATCTCCATCCCATCAGCCTGAAAAGACTCCCTCTAGCAGCGTGCAATCTATGGATCAGGTTCCTGCCGATAATCCTAGCAATAGTGCATTCGTGGTGGACTGGCCTGACCAGACCACTGAGACTGAGATCAGCCAAGTAAGTGAAAGTACTTGAAACTGTTATATATTTGAGAAACTGTCCTGTTTCAGCCTACTAGCCCACGGCTGACCCAGCAGTGGCCTGTGGAATGTGCTGAGCCATGGAGGCTCAGGCAAAGTTATCCCCTCTGGCCTCCTTTGCCCTTTATTTCCAGTGAGATTAGAGTTTATTATGGTTACATTCCATTTATCTGGAAAACAAACCCTTGGTTATATATTGTTCTTCAAGTGCTTGGTTTATGGCATAGCACGGAGGGATAGGCTGAGCAGCCTTTATCTGCTCCACAAAAATGCATTGTACCTTTCAAATATTCAGAATTCAATGTTTGGAATACCTTGGAGAAAGGTCTCCTAAGCATTGCAATTATGATTGAAGAGCGTTATCCTTAGTGCCAGATCGCCTCTCCCTGTTTACCCTTTCCCCTGAGGGGGAAAGAAATTGACCGTGAGGAGAGCAAAGTTTGCAGCGAGAGAATACAAAGTAATGGAAAAGGTTTAAATGGAGTGAAGTAACTGTAGACTGAAAGCTCCATCACCCTCTTACAGAATGATGTGCAGGATGAAATTCACAGCCCATGCAAGGCAACTGCATCAAACACTCTCCCTTCAGCCCAAGGATACAAGACATATTAAGGTCTTTATACCGTATATTGTTTTTGTCTCATCTGTGGCTCTGCATGCACAGTGAGAATAGCCACATAGAAATACCATTCCTGGTTTTTACCTTCAGCAACTTGTAACTTGTTCATGGCAGATGTTGCTGAAGAATAAGGAAAATATGAGAAAAAAATGAAAGGTGTGTTGTGCTCTGTTGCATGCAGGGGAGATCAGGAAACTGTGGTGACCATCAACACATTCATCAATGTGCTGGTGTGCACCCTGCCAGCCAAATTGGGGTTCCCTGTTAACTCTATGGGCTCAAGGTCAGCTTCTTGACTCATATCAGTTTTTATTAGAGTTACAGTATAAGTATAGCGGCAGTTCTCTCTGCCTTTTACCCCCACAGTCCCACAGAGTTGAGTTTTAATCTCTAAACTACTTGTATCTGGTATATAATACCAGTCAATGTTTTTATAATTTGATTGACTGTGCCTCATATTTTTGAATAATAATTAGTCTCTTGCATTAGCAATGCTGAGAAACAAGAATCCGATTCTGTTTAAGTTACATTGGTTAACAGTTGCTGCCCGGGCCCAATTCAAAGTGCTTGTTTCGACATATAAAGCCCTAAACGGCTTGGGCCCTGGATACCCGAAGGACTGCCTCCTTCCATATGAGCCTACCCAGCAGTTAAGATCTAGCCAGGGGGCCCTTTTGAAAGAGCCGTCCCTCAAGGAGGTAAGAGGCTTGTAGAGAAAGGGCTTTCTTGGCAGCTGCCCCCAGACTATGGAATGCCCTCCTGACTGAAATTCGTCTGGCGTCGACATTGATGACATTTCGGCGCCAGGTCAAAACCTTCCTGTTCCAGAAGGCTTTTAATTGAAATAACATGAACTGTGGGTCTTGATGGCAATTTTAATTGTATTTTAATCATTTTATCTTTTATTGTATTTTAATTGAATTTTAAATTGTTGTAAGCTGCCCAGAGAACTTTGGGTAGAGTGGGCGGCATATAAGTTAAACAAACAAACAAACAAACAAACAAATAAGAAACACAATATATGCTACTATTACTATTACTATTACGACTACTAATAATATGGTGGCACTACGTGCTGCCACACAAAACAGAGTAGCATGAATCTGAGGCAGCAAAAGTAATTCCATAAGATACAGTAAACACTTCAAGTACAGTGATCAATGGTTCCGTTATTTTGACAGGCTGCCAACCAATTTGCCTTTGCAAGGTGGTTGCATTTAGTACTTACAGTGTTTCATTTCAGCCATATATTCCATATTTTATAAGCATAATTTAAAAACACAGATTTCTGAAGTACTGTGTTGCTCAATACCTTGCACAAGATTATGTATTCTATCAGCAGAAAAACCAACTTGGAGTAAATTTGTGCAGCTTACCTCATTGGTTGTGATATGTGTAACATAGGAAAAGAAAGGTGTATCTCCCCCCCCCTTGCTGTGTAAAATATGAAGGGGAAAATGGATTCAGGAAATAAGCAAGTAGAAACGGGGGACCATAAATGCAGGGATGTGATGCTGCTGCAGGTTAAACCGCAGAAGCCTCTGTGCTGCAAGGTTGGAAGTCCAGAAGTCGTAAGATCGAATCCATGCAATGGAGTGAGATCCGGTCGCTTGTCACAGCTCCTGCCAACCTAGCAGTTCAAAACATGTAAAAATGCAATAAATAGGTACCACCACAGTGGGAAGATAATGGCGTTCCATGTCTAGTTGCGCTGGCCAGGTCACCACGGAAACTGTCTACAGACAAACGCTGACTCTACGGCTTGGAGACGGGGATGAGCACCGCCCCTAGAGTCAGACATGACTGGACTAAAATGTCAAGGGGAATCTTTACAATTGCAGGATATGGAGGGAAACATAGCCGAGGACATTCTGGCAATGGCCCCGTATTGATAATGGTATAAAGAAAAAATAAAATAAAATGGCATTATAGCCCCATTTGAAATATTGTATATATTTCTGATCACCTCATTAATAAAAATGTAGCAGAGCAGGAGAATTTGTGGAAGTAGCGACTTAAGTGACAAAAGGTCTGGAGCATCTTCCCTGCAAGGGGCTGCTTGGAGCTTTGTAGTTTAGAAAAATAAGTCATTTAACAGGGGAAATCATATAAGATGTGTAGAAAGCAGGCAGTAGGATTTTTTCCCCTCCTGAACCCTGAATTATCCATTGAAAGTGGCCAGTCGTGCATTGAATACAGGGAAAAGAAAGGACTTCTTAATATAGCATATAGTTAATACAGTGGTGCCTCGCAAGACCATGTTAATTCGTTCTGCGAAAATCACTGTTAATCGAAAACATCGTCTTGAGAAACATGTTTTCCCATTGAAATGCATTGAAAACCTGATAATCCATTCCAGTGGGAACGGATTGTCATCGTAAAGTGAAAATTGCTATAGGAAACATCGTTAAGCGAAATGCAGTTCCCAGGAGAAGATAGCCGTCTAATGAAACAGAGACCATTAAAAGACTCGTATAACGAAGCAAGATCAAGTTGTCAAAAACATCGTAAAGCGAAAAACAGGGACCTAAAATGTAACCGTCTTGTGAGGCAAGGTCCCTAACATCGTAAAGCAAAAATCGCCCAGAGGAAACATAATTAAACGAAGCGCAAGATCACTCCGAAAACCTCATCGTAAAGCGAATGTGTCATCATGCGAAGCAGTCGTCTTGCGAGGCACCACTGTACATTGAACCTGCTGCCACACAGTGTGGCAATAGCTGCTAGCTTAGAAGGTTTTTAGAGAGCTAGGATAATTTTCTCCCCCTACCCTTTTCTCTTTTATTTTGAGGGTATGTCTATCATTAGCCAATATTTATTTATCTATATTAGTTATTTTAATATTTTTAATTTCCTTCCATTATCTCTATTCATCATGACAACTGTATAAAGCTTCCAGATTCAGATGTTCTATAGCACTGAATGTCCGTTGCAGGAGACCTCATGCAGCTGACCTTGTGAGCTTCCCGCAGGCAACTGGTTTTCATTGTAGGAAACAGAAGAACCTAGGACTGACACAGCAGGGCTCCTCCTCTGAAAGTTAAGCTATAGAACCCATGTCCAATGGAATGGGTAATGATTACTGAAGATGTATTTGACTGCAGTTTTAAGAGATCCTCCTATCTGTCTCTACAGGAGAGCTAGTCTCACCTTCTAATATTTCGGTTTGCTTTATGTTATCCAATATTTCTAGTCTATGAAGTCATACATTTCTATTCATGGGGCAAGTGGTATGTCCTTAACATGGCTGGCTGGGGGATTCTGGGAGCTGTAGTCCAAAAAAGTTGACGTTTCCATCTCTGGTTCTTAAAGGTCTTCTGTGGTAAAACTGATGTGAAGTAATTCCATTGATACAACAGGGGACAAACTTGGTCGTTTGCTTTGGTGTTGTTGATGAAGTCTCACAGCACGGAGCCTCTGTTTCTGTATTACTTGCCCTTCTTCTGCACTTTCCTTCACAGTCTATGCTTTGGACATGAGAGAAATGCATAAAGTCATAGAGGCCTGCTGAGTATTTGCTTTTCATAGTTAAGAGTTACCATATGCACCAAGGGTATCAAAGATGCCAGAGTTGTAGGTGAAAATAAAAATACATTCAATACAATAATAGAAAAATAGTACAGAGTCTCAGAAAAGGAGGCAAAATTGGGTAAAGAAACAGATTTTTAACAGTGACCACACAGGACAAAACAGTCCAAGAAAGTAATTGAAAATAGGGAAAAGGCAATTCTTGGAGGCTTGTTACTCATTGATCTGTTTAAATTTCATTTTTAAGCATCCTATAGGATATTCATTTATCATGATTATGTACCATTGTATGAAAAAAATTATGAGTGTAAGAATAAAAGTAAGAATGTTTCCTTGCATAAACAGGCTTATAGTGAGAGGATTTGAGTTGGCCTTAAGTATAATGTGGGTGGTCACTGTAGTTATATGAAAAGTAGGCTGAGTGAGATATTTACAAATACAATAGTAATTTACTACGAATCATGTTAATAAACAAGAAGAAAATGCAAATATGAGCAACTGACCACTATCCTAAGTTCTGTAGGGTGAGAGACACAGGTAGTGGCTGGGTCTCTATCCCATGCCTCATGCTTATGGTCCTGTTTGTAGATAAGACAAAAAAGAAGGAAGTTTTTTTTTTAAAAAAAGGTAAATCTACCTTCCTTACTAGTGAATAATTTTTTTAAATGCGTCCATTGAAAAGCAAAATTATGTGTTTCGCAGATGAATACTAGCAGTGGGAAAGCAGCCCAAATGAACCAAGCAGCATGTGTATGAAATTGATTAGAAGAATGGCTCGTTCTTGTGACGTCATAAAGCTGTGTGCTAGCTTACATTTTCTGATTAGTTTAAGGTTGGATGTTCCCACATTTCCACAAGAGCAGAAGCTCATGTGAAACCAAGTATTTGTAAAATTTATGACAGAACCACTGCACCTGATCTCACCTACAGTCGCTTGGAGTGGTGGCAATCAGATGTGGATATCCAATCTATCTGCAGCTGAGATCAATAGCAACAGTGATCATTAGTCAGATCTTACAACCTCTATGCAGTCAAGGGCTGGGAAAACAGTTATCTAGGTCTAGGAAAATCCTATAGCTTCTCTGGACTCATATAGTGAGTCTGAGGGGCAGGGGGCAGAACAGATGGAATGAGACACAGAAGGATGCATTTGTTCTTTGTACAGGACAGCAGGAAATTGCTGCGTTCTTTCCCCAACGCAGGCAGTTTGAGAGAGAACAAGGAATGCATCCCCATGCATATTTTAACTTGAACACAGCATAACTTAATCCTCAGTAAGCATATGAAAAAGTGGATGTTCTAAAAAGATTTTGGGCCCATATTATTTTAGATTATTCTAGCTCAGAGGTCTCCAAACTACAGCCTGCGGGCCACATCCGGCCTGCCTTGCCTTTTTATCCGACTCAGGCATGGGAAGAGGAGGGAAGGGGGAGGACCCAAGCAATCCCCCACCCCTCACTGTCTTTGCAAAGACAGCGGGTGTGGGGGATTGCTTGGGTCCTCCTTCCCTCCTTTGGCCCGCGAAAATGTGTAAAATCTATGATGTGGCCCTCATACTGAAAGGTTTGGAGACCCCTGTTCTAGCTGATACTTCCCACTGTTCTGTTTTATGAAGCACTTTTTTGAATCAAAAGTACAGCACGACCATTTGCCTTATAGGGCATGGGACTTATATCTGGCTTTCCTTGGATCAGGGGCAAGGAACCTATGGTCCTCTTAATAATTTTTGTACTGCATAACCTATCACCACTGATTTTTCCATAGTTGCTGGAAGTTAAAGTTCAGTAGTCACATGTTTCCCCGCCTTGTTTCAGAGGAACAGTTGCTGCAGTAAATT